TGTGTACTCAACAAATAAGGAAATGTGAAGTGGACACTGAGCTCAACCTTTTTCCCCATACACGTTTCAACAATATGAACAAGATCGAAATGTAAACACTTCTTTCCATTAAAAGTGACAAGGTGGCAGTTGCCCTCTTTAAACATCCTTTCATCATTTTATTTTAGAGGGTGCTATGTTGATGTTGTCACACATCACACTACTTGTCAAAAGACCGTAAGTACACAAATTTGCTTTCACAATAATCCCCAGTTTTGAAGAAATATTGATCATTGTCCATGCAAGCTACAGTACTTAACAAATAAAAAGTGGACTATACACCTAGAATATGTGACATATATATAAAGCATAATACAGTACACACAGTGCTCTTGGGGCCACTGCTGTTCTGCTTTGGATGACATCATGCTTTGGCTCACAACTGTGGAAATTTTCATTAGCATTAAAACAAAACCAATATGTTTCTCCTTTTTACTGCCACAACGAAGGTGAAGTAATAGTAATGTTGCAAGAAGGCTTTCCGACATGTTCATGTATTCAAAGTCATACAAATGGTATGTCCTCTTAGATACCGTATTTCTGCCTCTTGCTATGATCTTTAATGGGCTTCAAGAAAAACCAAAAATGTATTCCGAAATCATGAAAGTGTTATGGTCAATGTGTAAACAAGTAACTTACTTGAGTTCATCTAAATTACCAATGACTTCTCTGATCTTATCGGCTTCCATGTGATTGGTCTGTTCCTTCCGATATCTCACAATGAATGGGACACTGCAACCATCTTCCAACAGTTGGATTAAGTTTTCTATAAAGGACAAGTGTCAATCAATGACAAGAACTCTGGAGCAATGAGCATCTCACATACAAGTACATGTAGTTTACACTGGAATGTTGAAGCTTGCTGTTTTTTTCAAAAAGCCTACAAGCCTTACGGGTTCTGATGGTATAACAGTTTAAGCCCACGTGTGTGTGTCTGTCTTCCAGAATTTTGAAATATATTTAAAGTTCAAAAACATTCTTGGAGAAAATACAACACAAAAGCAAGTTTGACTTTGGTGTTTTGAGGACATTCATGTACGCAACAGAATTGTGTTGGTTGAGTTGTTAAGACGTCTGCACCAGTAAGCAAGAGGTCGTGGGTTCGAGTCCCACCCGAGTAAGCTTGTGAAGTTTTTGCAAGCTCTTGGACAAGTACTGAGTAAACAGTGTTTATATATATTTACATTGTTTTTTAATAGTCATGTTGGGTAAGGGTTAAAACCTGTAATTTGAATTAACATCTCCCAAGCGCAAAGTACATCTTGAAAAAGAAAAAAAAATAGTTTGCGGTACCTGCTGCTACCCTCAACTCGGACCGGCCAGCCGACCCAAGGAACCTCTGCACTAGTAAGCAGGAGGTCATGTGTTTGAGTCCCACCCAAGTAAGCTTGTGAATTTTTTTGCAAGCTCTCGGACAAGCAGAGTACATATGTTCAGAGTTTATAAACATATACATTGGGTCAGGGTAAAAACCCGTAATTTGAATAAAAGTTTTTGCCCACAAGATCTTTGACTGGCGACAAAAAATTTAATCCACTGTAATGCATGTAAATCAAGTGGGCATTCATACATGTAACACTTACTGACAGCCCATTGTTCCTCTTCCACATTCTGCGCCAGCAAATCGACTATATTCCACTTCATTACCAGGGAGGAACTGTCACTTTTGTGGGCTGCGGCCGACGGTTTGGTTTTTGACGGCTTTTCCATCATGCGACTAACTAATCACTAAATTGGTGGAATGAAACGACGTTAAATTGAATCATTATACATATATACAGAGTACAAAAGCAACAAAACTGTGCACTGTTACCCTGTTGAACCAGTATGTTAGTACATGTACATTAGTGTGTCTGTATAAGGCAGGCAGGAGAAAGAGATTGCATTAAATACATTTAGGTCTGAACACTTTATTTAATATGTGAAAATTCTTTCCACAAGCAAAATGAATACACAAACAGAGAAGTGAAAATGGGAAGTCAGTAAAAACATATTGTATCATTATGGCCATCACAATGAAACTTCACAGAAATTTTAATTTAGACTTCATGTACAACTGCACATACATGTACATGTACTATGGGAGATATAACTTTCTAACCTCCTCCATACAGCTACCGGTACATGTACCGGTGCCAGACTAGGGCATTATAAACCTGTAAATTTCCCAAAGCCAAAGGAATTTTCACTTCTAGTAAGGAAACACTTGCCTCTGATTACCTACATTTGAAAATCACTGAAAAGGTCGCCCAACCCAAATACTCTGTGCCCACTGCTTGTCCCCCACAAAGGATTATGTAACACAGACTCATCCTACTTTTTCAACTTGGGGGGGAGGGGCCAATGGTAAACAAAGGTGAGTGTATTCTTACAAGAATGGAAAATCTCTTTGGATTATGGACATTCCATTACAGAAAACTACTCAACTCTGTTTACCTACATTTACAGAGTAGCACCGTTAACCAATTGTGAGGGAGGAAAGGGACATGTAGGGTAAACAGAAGGTCTAAACTAAAAAGGTGAAAAGGTTGTTCAGAAACTCCTAGGGGCTGCCTACTTAGTTGTGTGTAGGCTTGCTGGTTGTGTGGGCTGCTGATTGGCTGACCTCCTAGAGGGCTTTCCCCACCATGAATCCTTCAGCACTTGTACAACATCTTTTAAGTAGCCTGGGGTGAAAGTGGTTGGATTCGTCCAGCAGGCTGCTTTCATAACATCTAAAACACAAACTCCGAGCAGTGGGCCCAAGAGGTTGACATGCTACGGCATGTCTCATGAGCTTTAGATCTCAATCCTTGATTATAGGAAGGACTTGTTATTGTTGCCTCTGAAATCCATCAAGCGATCGTGGTCACAGAGGCTGGACAATGTGGCTGGATGGCTGTAATGTACAACTGCTTGATTTCACCTCATAATGGCTGAGTGGGAACAATGTAGTACATATACTTGGGTTGCACAGGGGACCACCATTTATCCTCTACTACTGATAAAAATGACATCAAGCTTGGAACAAAGATATCTGAGGGAGAGAAATCAACTAACTGATTTTTGATAAGAAACTGTGTCTGTGGAATAAGGCGTACACCACCTGGTTCCCAGCGAACCTGGTTCTATAGACAAGGCCTCTCACTTCTTCGTCGAGCTGTAGTGGCAACCAATGAAAACATGTTTTTTATCATAAATTGTTGAAGAGATGAATTCCCTGCCGGTTCAAAGGGAGCCTTGGATTAGGATGTCAGAAGGGTACCCAGATCATAAGAAATTTGAAGACTGGTGTGGAAAAGGTGAAAGCTGAAATTCCTGAAAGCAGTCAAAGATAGAGAATGGTGATCAAAAGCTCTTTCCTCACACCACTTGAAGTGGTAAAGTCTACAATCATCAAGTCTACAAGCTCTTTCCTCACACCACTTGAAGTGGTAAAGTCTACAATCATACGTTTGGCAGGTGGCATCTGTCCCGTCTACTCTACCCTTAGATTATAGCTGCCAATGCTGTAACTTCTTCCGTAGCTTATGTAGCCTCTTCTGTTGGAGGGATCTGGCCTCTGGAAAGCGCATTGGCGAATGAATTCTTCTTCCCAGCCAGATGAGTGGCCCAAAGAGAGATTTGCCAAGAAAAACACTGGCAAGTTTCCAGATGGCAAGGCAGAGGGACGGAGATTGGGTTTCCCCTGGACAGTTGATGTATGATATCATTGTGGAGCTGTCAGTCTGGATTAGAACCATTGTTGCAGACCCTGGATTCGAAGGACTGCAAGGCGTTTGACACTGCTAAATGACTGATGCATAACTGACTCTACTCTGTGGACCATACAGTACATGTATGTCTCCCATGTGAGTCCCCAAGCCCATCTGTTGTGAGAGTAATTGCCAGAGAGGGACGGGGAATTATGTCTATTCTGTGATAACCACCATTGAAGTCGATCTCTGATGAGTTGGGTGAACGGCATCCTTCTTGAGACTGATTCAAAGATGAACGAATGTGATGATACAGTAGTTGCAGCTGCAGGGAATGCATGCACATCTTGACTGGTAGGATTGAAGAAACAATAAAAACTTGAACACAATTCTGTTGAGTGATCCAAAGTTGGAGTTGCTCTTCCCGTGGCCAAGTTGAGAACTGCTCCAAGGTACATGTAGGTTGGTTGTTGAGAAGGTATCAGAGAGGACTTTTGTCATGAGGATGAAGCCCAGTTCAAGTGTTATTTGGATTGTTTGCTGGGGGGCCTTGACTTTGTCCTGGAAAGTAGGACTAACTACATGTATACAGCAGTCATACAGATACAGGAAAAGGTAGACATACCTCTGACATAAGAGTGCTGCAACCACCTTGGTGATTCTGGTGAAGACTCGAGGGGCTGTAGAAAGAGCGACCAGAGGGCAGGCAGCAAAACTAATATGCAGTTTCCTGATACATAAGCTGAAGGAAATTATCATCCGAGTGAATGGGGACATGAAGATAGGCGCCTTTTTTGGTCAATCAAAGTTGCCCACCAACCTGTCATTAAAGACTGGAGAAAAGTGTCTCCATCCCGTAGTGTTTTGGCTTGACATAATAGTTGAGCAGACACAGATGGATGATAGGTCACCACTTCCCAGACTTCTTAGGGGCGAGGAAGCATGCCGAAGTAAGGCCTAGGGCAGTTCCTTAAGGGAGGACAACGGTATTCTTTTCTCTGAAAGGATTTCCTTTCCAAAGCAGCCTGGCGAGTGGGATCTGTAGGAACAGGAGCAGACTGTTGAGGCCACAAAAGGGGAGGACACTGACGAACTCCATGTGATATCCCCATGAAATTGTCTGAAAGACCCAGCTGACTGAGGTTATGTGGAACCACTTGTGACTAAATTTTAAAAGCCAAACACCTACTGGACTCGAAGGCAGAAGGATGAGAACTGTAGCTATCAGAAGCCCTTTTTGGATTGCAACCCTGGGACTTAGAGGGCCGTGCATAGCTGGGGTGGCTGACTTCTTGTGTAGTCTGATAAAGATGAAGACTTGCCTGCATCTCTCTTGGGTCTGAAAGATGAACCTTGGTTGGAAGAATATTTCTTGGTCTCTTCCTTGGAGCTTGGATGGTAGAATGGCATTGGGCAGAATGTCGCACGCCCAACTTGCCTTCCCTTTTGAGACGTTTGGCTTTCTGCATCATGGCCTTGCTGAACTTGTTAAATAGATCACTCCCTCCCAAAGGAAGAGAGGTGGTCCTTGGAGCCGACTGATCAGAGAAATAAGTTGCAAAGGACAATGGAGCATCACAGCACAGAAGTTGAGGCAAAGCTTAATGAAAATTCCCAAAGACAAAACCCCAAGCAGTCAACTAAAAAGTGGAACATCTCCTGCCCGTTATTTGCATTTGTCAAGGAAGGATTTTGATGACATCTAACAAGAGCGTCAGACAGCAGCAGGAAAAAGGATGCTGGTATCTTGGCCCCCATTATGCATATGGCAATCTATGGCTATAAGTCTGTTGTCGAAAGTCTTGGTCTTAAGGTAGGAGGTCTGCGGAGAAACCATGTGGATTATCTCTTTTGTGAGTACGTGTGGTTCTGAAAAAACTTGTATTCTATGTTTCAGACAGTGAGTGCTCTGTCCGCCATTAGGAGACCGCTGGATTCCAACTTATTGCTAAAATACTGTGCGTGTTCAATTAGGCGTGGAGGAGTGGGATTCTGGCTGCACATTACTGAGGTGTTAAGGCAGGAACTTTGGGTTGTGTTGTTAGACCTGAAGCTGATCATCCAGGTGTGTCAGAGGGAGTGGGACCTTAGGGTGTGGAGGGTGCCTGGGGTACAGGAGACCTATGCAGCAGGTTGGGATTGGGAAAAGTGTCTGTGGGTATAGGAAACCCATTGGACAAGATGGGGTACCAGATGTCGCTGATGCTGATACCGATGTCTTGGGGTACTGTCTTGTGTTTGATGATCTCGATGGCCTCAAGGGTGCCATTGCTCGATGCTAGTGATGAGTTGTGCTTGATGCCATTGGATGACATGATCTGTTTCGTGTGAGTGTTTGATGATAAACGACTTGTCATAATCCCTTTGTCGTCCGTGAACCTTGTCTTTGCTGAGTCTGGTAGCTACTGTAGATCCCTGCCCGTCTCTCCAACGAACACTTGGCCGCATTCACAAGGGATCTTATAAACGCTGTTTGGGGTTTGGCTTGTGTTTGACTGTAGCAGGTTTCTGATCCTGCCGAGGATGCATGCACTGTATGTGGTTTGAAGTGTTGCCTATGCATGGAGGGTGACAGAACTAGTGTACTAGGGTACTAGGGTAGAGGAGACCCATCCGTTGGGGCAGTTTGTTGGTGCTTGGATCTTGACTTGGGTGAAGATGTGGTATAACTCACTGGGCAGGCTTGCCCTGGTTACATACATGTACATTGTGACGGACGAGCGTGGCGATGACCAAGTTCTTGATCTTGGGATGATAAAATGGAGGTACCGGTCTGTGTGAGTTGGCTTACAGTATACTGTACATGTACATTGTGGGAGAGGGTGCCATCAGGTCGCCTGGACACCTTCACATCCAAGGAGATGGTGCTGTCCCTTTCTTGATCCATGGTGAACTGGATGCTGGAGCTAAGCCCGTTGAGGTGTTCCAGAAAGCTCCTAGTTTGTCTTGATCACAAGGCCATATGATAAACGTATCATTGACCTATCTGAGCCATACTCTTGGGCAAAGATCAGCAGTTGCAATGGCTGTCTGTTCAAATTACTCCATATTATAGATATCAGCAAGAAGAAAGGGATTACAGGTGATCCCAAAGAGGATTCTGATTGTTTACTCTTAGAACTTGTCACGCCATTGGAAGCCCGCGCAGGTGATGAATAGGTCTTGGATCTGAGCTGGGGTCAAGACAGTTTGTTCTCGAAGTGATGGGTCTTGATCTAGGTGTTCTCGTGCAGTGTTGCAGGTGTCGGTGGTAGGGACATTAGTGAAGAGAGACACCGCGTTGAAGCTGACCATGAAGTTGCTGGGTTGTAGGGTTAGGTCTTTGACGAATGTGGCAAACTGTTCCGAGTTCTTGATATGGTGTTCGGTGTTGGCAACAAGTGGATAGAGGATCTTAGCAAGGTGCTTGGTGATATGGTAGGTGGGACCTCCTCAGGAAGCTACGATGGGCATAGGGGGATGTCCGGCTTATGGATCTTGGGTTGAGCAAAGAAGTGGGGGGCATCTGGAGCTGGAAGTACGGAACTGGTGGTACTTGGCCATGGAAAGGTTTCCAGACCACTGTAAGGCAATTAGCTTGGTGTTGACTCTTCTGTATGGCTGGTGTGGGGTCCTTGCATGGGGAACGGTAGGAGCCCGACTTTAAAATGTCCCACACCTTGTTGTCGAAGTCATTTCTGTCCATAATGACTATGGCGTTGCCTTAGTTGGCGGTCATGATGTGGATTGACTTATCTCAATGCAGACTGATGAGGGCTAAGTGTTCTTGCTTGGTGATGTTAGGCTCTGCAGGCTTGTGGTTCTTGAGAGCTTGGCTTATTTGCATTCAGACATCATCTGGGACAGGCTTGGCTAGATAGCGTAGGGCTGGTTCGGTGGCTTGAACTACTTCTTCCACGTGTGAAGGCTTGGGCACTAGGGCAAAGTTTTCGTCCAATGCAAGGACCTGTGTTTCGACTTTGGGTTACTTGTGTTGACTGACAGTGACCACAGTGTTTCGTGAAGGCGGCATGTGAACGTAGTTGGGTTTGGTGTGGGTTTGGTACAAGGACATAGAGGATCCTATCAGCCAGGTCTGGAATGGGAGTTGCGATTATGTGGGTCATGGGGATATACATCCCATAGTCCAGTGTGTGGCTGAGTTCTGTTGTTGGGAGTATCTTGAATTTTCTGATTTGGCGGCGGCAGGTTCTTCTGAAGGTGGCATGACTGCTTGTCTTGGTGAGTCGCTGGATCTTCTTGAAGACTTCCAGGGATGTGGAAGTGGCAAGTTCACTCTAGATGGTAGAGATCTGCTTGTCTAGTGAGGCTAGAGCAGACCTAGTTGTGGACATGAGATAGCGAAGTACATGTAGGCTGAGGCTAGACTTCTTGAGGATGTCTTTGGACTGCGCATTGTGGACGAGATCGCTGAGATGGAGACCAGGTGGCAAGATGTTGGAAACGCGGCAGCGCTTGAGGAAGGTCAACTTGATGAATCTTGAATACTTGGTGGAGAGACGCTCGTACTCCTTGACCACAGATGAGATTTGCTCCCCGTAGAGCAAAGTCAGGTAATGATTGAAGGTTTGCATGGTGGATATAAAATAAGGTACATGTAGGAGGTTTGCAGCGACACCATGTGGATTATCTCTTTTGTGAGTGTGTTTGGTTCTGACAAAGAATTAGTACTCTACGTTTCAGACAGTGAGTGGTGTATCTGTTGTCACGAGACTGCTGGATTCCAGCTAGAGTGCTGCTTAAGTACTGTGGAAATACCAGTATCATTACGGTGGAAATACATGTATCATGCTTGGATTACTGATTGGACTTGAAGGGACCAGGTGAAAATACCTAGTGCATGGATTGAGATTACAGATCTGTTTCTTGTATTGGCATCATCCACCATTATTCGGCAGCATTATTAAGATTCGGATTTGTGTAACTCTACAAAGCTATAATACGCATGACGCACACTGTATGTATCAATGACAAAAATAGGAGGAGTCTTTGTGTTACACAGCCCTTTGTGGGGGACATGCAGTAGGTACAGTGGGTGTGGCTTGGGCGACTTTTTCAGCGAGTTTCCTTATGCACGTATGCTGATATGCAAATGCACATGTACATGTAGGTACATTGCAAACAGAGGTGAGTAATTTTCCATAATGGGATTACAGTGTTATACCGTATTGCCATAATAACAAGGTTCTCAGCAGAGATCTGCCACATGTATCATACATTCCACACGATAAGGCCACACTCCATTCAATGGTGATGACGTGGGAATCAGGAATTAGCTGCCAGAGCTTCAGTGTGTTTCTATAAGTGGTCACACGGGGATGCTGTCAATTAACAAGGAGTAAATCAAAATTTGAAAGCACCAATAACAAACATTTCTACCAGTAAATACATGCACTAACAAGAATGTGTTGGATTAGTACATTGCCATATGCCTAGAATAATGAGTGTACACATGTACATGTACATGTGGAAATAACCAAGGACGTGCAAGTGGATTGTGGACACAGGTACATGTACAGTACATTGACAAGCAAAAACTGAATCTCAACTTCAGCTTTCAAAATACTGTTACTGTACATGTCCCGAAAATATAAGTCAAGAAAAAGCAAAAAGTCATCAATTTGCAGGCAATGGTTCACAAGGGTGCTTCACAAGGATGTTGTACACGGGTACGTGTACAACTGGCAGTAGGTGAAGGAATGATATGAGCACAAACAATGACATGAAACAACACACAGTAAATTGTAAATTAAAGTGAAAAAACCTTTTTTTGTGAGCGTAAAGCATGCTTCTCAGATTACCAGCCAATAGAGAGTGCTAACCACAAACAGTGAGAACAAGAAAAATGAGCCAGAAACTCCCCACTGGCCATCAGTAAGATGTCACTGTTTACTACACTTAAAGGGCAGCAGGGGCTCGACTTCTGGCCTCTTGAACTTCTTGGTTGTGCCTCGTGCAGTGACCTTAACCTTAACAAAATAGACTCCACCATTATCACTCACAGCTATGCCAGTGGCCACTGGTACTCATTATGTGCTGCTTCTTTGTCTTTTAAAAAGATTGGTAAGGGCTTCCTTCTGCTTCCTTCACCTCTGTAAGGTGGGGAGGTACTTACATGTATGATGCTAGAGGCACCACAACGTACTGACAGTGCTCTGCACCTGTCTCCACTGGTTCTTGAAGAGGTCTTTGTGTTCAAAGTCTCCAAGAGGAGCTGGTGCAGCAACTTTCTGAATAAGCAGCATTGCAGATATTGATGAATGGTGAGTCAGGAGGGGTAGAGACTGGAACGGGAGGTCTGCCATTGACAATGGCTGTCACTTCAACGGTGAATATGCACAGGACTTCATGGCCAGGTCGGAAGATTTCCTCCATAGCAGCATGGAGCCATGGATTCTTTGTGCAATTCTAATCATTAGTTCCTAAGCACTTCCCATGTGTGAGGAGTAAGGTGGGTTGAATATCCAAGTGCAGCATTGCTCAGCGAGGTAGCATGTTACCAGAGACTGCGGTATCCTACTGTTCTCTCACAAGTTTAAATTCATTACAGGCACCCATGAAATTTGTTCCACATTCTGATCTCAGTTGTTTTCCTGGCCAATAGATAAAACAGAAACTCCTGAGTGTGCTGATGCAATTTGAAGTTTCCGTGGAATCAATGACTTTGATATGCAATGCTCTCGTGCTCGTGCAGGACTGCAGGTGAACAGGATTGCTCAACATTTACCATTAGCCTGCACTCCTCTGGTGCAATGTGGGATGACTGTCCAAGGTCCAAAAACATCTAAGCCCACATACAAGAATGGCCGAGTTGTTTGCATGATAAATCTGCCATCTTCTGTTCAGGACTCTATCTTGCCACAGAGCTTCTTGGACATGACGCACTTGTGCATTATGGAGTTGCCAAGCCTCCCACCACAAATGATCCAAAGGCCCTGCATTTTATGGCTCCTTCAGTAAAGTCGGGCCTTGGTGTTCCACCTGTTCATGCTAGTATGGTGCATGTTGTGTAAACATGTGACTGCAGCCCAAAAGAACAGGATTTTCCTCACCACTGTCCGCCTGCCCATGTCTCAGATGCCCTCCAACTTTGATGATCCTGCATTCCATAACTGAATTAAGCTACCGTATGATGGACTGCTTTAGGGATATCTTCATTCTGCTTGATGGCAGTGAACTCATCCAAATAAACTTTTCTCTGACATGATAAAGATGCTTTTTGCATGGGCAAACTCATTTGGGGTGCCGGGTTTACCACACTGATGCAAGCCTACGGATTTGCTCATCTCACTTCCTGAAACTGTCTTGCATGAGCGAGCAAAATGAATGAGGAATACAAAACCCCTCGCGAGTGAGTTCTAGGTTGAGAAGTGCTCAAAGCATTGTGGAGTTGTCTCATCAATGTCTGGATGATGAAACTTCTAACTGGATGGACATCCACATTAGAGTGGTATCTCGAAGGCATCTTGTTTCTAATGAATGGATGGATTTGCATAGGCAGGCTAGTCCTGTGAAAAACAATGTACTGTTGAGCTGGGATTCTCAAACTGCCCTAACAGCATGATCAGCTGGACGGTGCTCTTTATTAACAAAGTGCCGCTGGTCCGGACTCGGTTGTGCACATTTTCAGGTAGAAACATTTGGTTTTCTTGTATACATGTACATGTATCCAAGGATGACCTTGCTCAAAAAGTAGAAGTTATCGGTAACAACATCTGGTTTGAGGTCATTTTCAGGTAGGATGAGTTCTGTGATCTCCACAACGCAATACACAGTTCAAGTTCTGGTAAGCTGAGGTTGCATAGCCACCTTGGTCTTTCCCAGAATGAAGTCCACCTCTATGTGTCTACTGTCATCAATGGTTCTAAGGTACATGTACACGTATATGTAGGCGACTGCATCAATGCTTTAGTGGATGTGTCTGAGAATACGCACAACTCAGTGCCTTGCATCTCATTGATTTCAAAAGCATACAGTACGTGTGGAGAATGTGGGGGTCCTTTAGCTGTTGTAGAGTATCTCTCCATGCTTCCCATTCTTTCAGCTTCTCTTTGAGAAGTAATGTGTCCTGCGTGCAAGTTTCAGTAGTGAGTTCCATCAGTAGAACTCTGCCTTGTATGGTGATTGGGGCTACTGGGACAAGGGGAAAGTGGCTGTTAACTGTTGAAAGGACTCCCCATCATGGTAAGGGTTTGTCAACAGCTGATATCCTAAATGTGAATGCGTCTGTTGTCGTTTCCCAAAACTGAACAGATCTGGTGTCAGCTCTGAGGCCTAAGTCTTTCATGCTGGTGGCATGATCCTCTGGAGAATAACGGTGGTGCTATTTGAAGCGATATTCAGCAGTCGTAGGTTTGGCTCTGTAAGCAATTCTTGAGTTCTCTGCAGCAAGTCAATAACCTGTGTTTGTAGGCAGAGACTTGAGTCTGTTGACATAAAAATGTTTCCTGATGAACTACCATGTGTCTTCACCGTGGTCATGTTTACCTTCTGTAGAATATTAAGGTACAATATTCTGGCTGTAGTGCTCACGCAAACTTGAATGTCTTGGACTTCACACTTTACAAGCCATTACAGCAGGTGTATAAACTAGCTGGCTAAGAGACCCGAGTTGGTAGGGAAAGAGCGTGCTTCACACTTATGCAGTTTGCAACACCTCCTCTGGCAGCTTGATGGAAACCATACATGTATATAAGCAGATGGGCCGTTTCCAAAGATGCAGACTTTTATTCTGTACTCAACCACTTCCTTGGATGTGTCATCTCTGTACCAAAGGAACCTCAGGTAGTTTCTGTGGTCCTCATGCAAGATTAAGCAGTGACATATCTGCTGGATTTCTGCATTTAACATTCCTCCCCATGCTTGAGTGGGGATGCTAGCTGTGCATGGTCATTCTCAAATATCTTCTTTGTGGAAGTGGAAAATATTCTTTCATCTTAGGGTTTCTTGTTGAAGCTAGGACACAGGCAAGATGAGTGATCCCATGTTTTTGGTTGATGGGTAGGAGATGTATTGGTGACCTGAATGAGACGGGTGTCACCCAGCTGCGGGTGTCTTCTCTGTAGACTTCTTCATCCATAGTCTTCAGGATGACCATTTCCTCAATGGGGAGGGTGGGCTTGTTGTCATCATGACTAGTTTGGAACATGTCTCATGCAAGGTCCTTGTCTGGTACCGTACTTTTATGGATTGCTGTTAATTTGGTTTTGTACTGTGAGATAAACTGCACTGCTGCTCCCTGCTGTAGCTCACATTCTGTTGAAGATGAATGTGACTCATGAAAGACTAAGGAAGGACGGCCATCCAGTCTCTTGTAGGTTGGCTTTGAAGCTACTCAGATTCGGCTTGTGTACATTTCCCAGGCAGACTTCACCAACCAGAACCTGACCTGAGTCAAGTCGCTGTGCAAATGGAGCACTGTGCCATCCGCAGATCTGCTGTCACACCTTGTGCATCCTCAGGGTTTCTCTCCCAAGCATCATCAGAATGTGGACATCTTGGTCAAGCTGCAGGATATGGGCTGCCACATGCTCCATACAGGGGTGGTAAAGGGCTCTTTCGGGTGTTGGTATTTCTTCTCTGTTGCTGAGGATTTCATTACATTCAATGAGTGGAGGGAAAGGTAGACTTTCATATACATGTACCTGGTACTCCTCTGGTCACTGCTTCGATCTGGAAGCTGTCAGCCTGTCTTCCTGTCATTTCTGTTACCTCTGAACAGGTTCTGAGCGAGTAGATTGATAGACTGCATTTGACATTGAAAAGATCAAAGAAATCTGACCTCATCAATGACCGGTTGCTGTGATCATCGAGTATGACATACCCATACATCTTGACTACTGCCAAGCACCAAGCCTATCTTGGAACAGGACCATGCTACCAGACTGTTGCCACATACATGTACATGTACTGTACCTCCAGGAACTGACCGTAGATGTCAAGGCAGGGCCGACAATTTCCTGTGATGCAGAAAGGGAGAACTTTGTTGACTCTGGGATGGACCTGGATGCATGGCTGCATGATGCTGATCACCGTCGCACCCATTTAATGGCCACCTTGCAATTCTTTACAAGATGAGATGTTAATTCACAGCACTAGAAATATCGTCCACCTTCTCTGAAGTGGGATCTCAATTTGTCAAATGGGTGTAGCTCTTAAGTCTCTGCATTTCCTGAAAGGGTGTGGCTTACATGTATGGTGGGGAAGCTTTTGTTAGGGCTGTCGTCCTTGGCTTGTTTTAGCATCTGCGTTTGTGTCAACTACCTTAGCAACATCTGTGTACAAATATCGGGGTACTCATACATGTTTTCCATGGCAGGTCTCTCGCTCCTCACTGGACCAGTGCTGCTGATAGAAAAGGCAAACCTAGGATCATTTCTAGTTTTTGCTTCGGAGTATACGTACATGTACGTAGATGAATTTTGTGAAGAATGAGAATGGGAGAAACGACAGGTTATGATCCCTTTTGTACTTCGAACCTCTGATGATCCATCTCTCTTGCAGGCTGTTGGGCAATTTCTAAATTACTGAGTTGATGCCACTGGCGGTGTCCAGATACATGCAGGTATCTATCTCTCTTGCAGGCTGTTTAGCAATTTCTCAATTATTGAGTTGATGCCACTGGCGGTGTCCAAATACCGGTACATGTAGGTGAGACCAGGCAGATACACACTAGACTTCCATAAGCAGTTCTCCCCCAGCTCACTCGATATGAGGTAGATGCTTAAGATTCTAGGTAAGATGTCCAGTTTTTCAAAGAGGCACCCACCAGAACTTCAGGTGAGGCTAGCACTCCTTAAATCTTTCCGAATCCTTCTTCAATGATGCGTCTAGGTTGTCAATATTCACTGAACAGATCCCTTGGCAGGCCGATGACAATCACCAAGCCACATTTTCATCAAATCCAATTCCTCACTTGCTGTGAGGCCCAGGCCCTTGATAGCATTGGTGCAAGATGACTTCCACACTGTAAAGATCTCTGGCTTGACATCAACCTTAGCAAGTGCCGGGTTCACAAGTGCAGACCAAGCTAAAGTGGTTTGTAAAATTATTGGTAACTTCCGTAGATTTCAAAAATGGTTTCCTAGGGTTGTTGCTTTGCTGGGGGACTGCGGTTCACCTCGTTATTTCATGGCTTCGCCACAAGCTTCAGGGCCTGAACAGTTTGCTGTTCAGTACTTGAGGGCTGTGTCTGTGGGCATTGGCAAACTTATGTGCATCTGCTTGGCGAATGTTACAGGTACATGTAAGTTAGGCCTCATGTTGCCATACGCTGGTTATAGGGATGGCATGGACGAGTAGCTGGTGTGCAAGTTGGCTTGCTGCCGAAAGTACTAACTGGTGCACTCATCAGCAATGTCCTTTGGATTTACTGGTGTGCTGTTTTTCATGCAAGATACCCTGGTTTTAAATACCACTGCTGCCTCCAAAGCCTCAGCCTGAGCCAACGCCACTGTTGCTTCCCTCTGGAAAGTCGGTGTACCTACACGCAACTTTGCATCCAACTCTGCCTTTTCAAGAGTCATCACCGCATTTCTCTCAGTGCTTCCAATTTTCGTCTTCACAGACACGTGCTGTGTCTGCATTGGTACGAGCCCTGGCTGCTTAACTAGTGGTGGACCAAGTGAAGATAGACATGAGCCCTTTAAACTTGTCTGAGATGCCTGATCATCATGGTGTCTTAATTCACAGCTGGTGACAGTAAACATGTTGTGTACACTGTGCCTTATAGTTCCCCTGCTGTACTTGAATGTAATGTCCACTGGTTGCCTTTTTACTGTACTGTCCTTAAGGTGTCTAACCCAAATTTGACAACCAGCCAAACTCATTTCAGAGACTACATGTACCGGTACATGGTAATCAGAAACAAGCTTCTACAGATCCAGTGTTTCAATAACTGCTGCTGATTTCACAAAATTCGATGGCATGTCACTTTACATGTAAGCCATATTTTATTTTTATGTCACACTGTGTAGGTCTGCAACTTGCACAACAAATTGTGGCACACATGTACACTTATGCAAGCGTTTTAGGAAGCATAAGTTTCTCCAAAGTACAAATGAATGATTAGACTAACTTATTGTGGTAAGTTTAGGCCCATCACTGCTGAACTTAACAATTATTCAAGACATACACAACTCTGCTTTACACATGTAGAGGGTAATGAATTCAACTTGTTTGGCTGTGAGAGAACTTCAAGATTTTCTGTCCAGTTGTGATGATGGAAAAGATGAAAACTTTTTCAAAATGACATGCAGAGGTAATTCAACAACTGTTTGATGACTGCTGAAATTCAACAAAGGAACAGCCATTATAAAACCGGGTATCTTCCTATCTAAGAAATGAAATGTAATCACAATGTTGCACAGCTAACGTTCTTGAAATGCAACATATACTGCACAGCTACAGCACAAATTTGTGGGAAAAGGTTTTTCCACATGGTTCAAAGTTACACTATGTTTCATGAAATTGCCTGCTGGTCACACAAGAATGATGTTGATCAAGGAGTAAACTACGTATGAAAATAAAAATCCACTAGTACATGTAACTACATGTAACAACTCTGAACACATGCGCTAACAACAGATCTATACAATACGCTTGCCTACACAGTCTTAATGCACAAAAACAGATAGACAAATGCCTAGAATTATGAGTGTACATGTCAATGTGGAAATACTGTACATGTAACCACAGCCATGTGCATATGTATACAAGTGAATTGCTGACATACTGGCTACATGTATGTACTGTACAAGCATGTGACAAGACAAAAATTATCAAATTCAGCCTCAAAAATACCTGAAAGTCAAACATTTCTTAGGAAAGAGAAAAATTGTCATCAACTTACAGGCAATGCAGGGTATTACTGTTAGACACCTGGCAGTACATGATACTGGAATTGTTTGAGCTCAAAAAATGATAAAAAGCAACAGAAATTCATATTAGAAAACCTTTATCTGTATGTCTCCGAATGAGTTCAAAGCATAGCCTAGTGAGGATAGGACAAGATATGGCCATGAGAATGAATATCCTGGATTTCCGTCCACCACCCGCATACCGCCAAAAAATTTCATTATTTTGCAAAATTATCTCAGAAAATCATTGTTTTTCCCGTCGGGAATGGTTAAAAAATGGCTGCGAAGTAATTCGGGAGTTCATAGTGCACCCAAGTACAAATGGATTGATGCAAGACAGACTCAGAGCTAGTCTACTTTCTTTGCATGAACGGGTGCACGCTATCCATGTGCAGTATATACACCAACTAACCATGCGAATGAATAATGAAAAAAGCCTCATGGGTTTTCAAAATTGGCCGGACGGAAATCTGGGATGTTTATTCTCATGGCTATCCATGTGCAGTATATACACCAACCATGGAAGTAGAATCATCCATGCACCAACTAACCATGCGAATGAATAATGAAAAAAGCCTCATGGGTTTTCAAAATTGTCCGGACGGAAATCTGGGATGTTTATTCTCATGGCCTAAATGATCCAGATCATGAGTGGATATGAACAGTCAATCATGAACTCTGCCAACTAGAAACTGTAAGGTTCAACCCCCCTCATGGTTTCTGGAAGTACAACCAGGCCCCAGCAACGGTTGCGCAGGATGACTATTCAGAAGTATTCTGGCAATGTGGCATGCCCGGACGTCATGGAGGAAGATTGGCGTCACCTGGTCGCGCGTCCAACTGTCCAACCTGGGCTACCGGTAGTCTGGTAGTAGCCTAGCTTTGTAGGCTATTTGCGAAGGTGACTTTGCGTGACGTCGGGTCAGTGCGAGGTGAAAATAAATGCGTTTTACTTTTACATTGCTTTGCATGGCAGAAGTGTGTTTACGTCGGGTTGTTTTCACCGCGCGCGCAGGCCGAAGTCATGCGCAAGTCAGTAAGTCGGTCCTCCAACGGCCATCTAAATATGTAAACCGCAACCTAGGCTATCAGTATCACGCTATTAATATACACAAGTCGAAGAAAAGCAAAAGATGCAGGGCAAAAGAGGGATTCCATTCAAACTGTTACATTTATTGGTGTTAGTACGAGCACATACCTACATGTGAGTAAGACTAAGTGGAGTATGATCACGAGAACGCTCAATCATGGTTCAACTTTCCCACCATGTCCAAACATGTCCCCTTTCCACTGCGCACGTACATGTAGCGCAACGCGACGTCGATCATCTGCTCCACTGCCTGAGCAGTAATGTAAGCTTCTCAATAGGAAACCAGACCAAAAGTGGCTGACTACTGTGCACTGAAAAAACACAAAAACATCCGTCGGGGCCAGGGCGGACCTGTATCTCGGGGTGCACCACTACAAGTAATTAAATTCCCATAGACAGCAGTGATAAATCCCCATACTTCACGAATATTTTTAAAATACTGGCGAATTTTGGAGCCTAGTCTCGGAATTTCTTAATTTCAAGCGACCTGCAGCCTACCTGCTTCAATTCAGGAGGCGGTCGGAAGAGTAGTACCAAAAAACCACATACCATACGCAAACCCGTGGCATGACTGAATCGTCACCGCAGTCGACACTAAGTTGAAACGAACTGGGTGATTCAAAGTTTGTAATGTGTAGGGTTTACCTCCACAAAATTTTTCGTCCTTCCAAGAAACTGGTCGGACAAAAGGTAGATGGGGTTGACCCCAAACAAACCTTTGTTTTTCACTCTTTAACAAGTGAGACGTAATCCTTGCCCAAAGTAGCTCTTGGAGGGCAAGTGGGGATAAAGAGCTATTTTGTTGTGGGTTGGGAGTTTCACAATTTCTTCAAGTAATCTTAACCCTTTCTTAAGGGGTGTGGTTAAATTTGGGGGACTTTTAACACTTCTGAAGAAAGGTAGTGAAAAAATACCCCAACTCATTTTTCTCTCATTTTAAACAAATGCCGGGGGGAGGGCTGATGACCATGTGGCTTTCAGTGGCCCCTGGAAATGCCAGTGCGCTGGGGTAATACCTCACTGCCACCCCAACAGCATACCACCTGCCACCACAGCCTTGCCCATTTACAATTCAGACGCACACCTGGAATGCTTTTCCTTGAACGTTTTTATATTGCACACATATGTATACTTTTCTCGTACGTCTTCCAAATTTCCAATTCATTTTCCTAAATCAGTTCCTAACTGTATATGAAAGTCTTTACTTCATTTTCACAGTTTCGACAAACAAAGTAAAACTTGAAAAAAAAAGAATAGAATGAACGTCAAGATTTTAATAAAAGGAAACAGCAATTTTTCATTTCACAAAGTCACAACCATAATGCAAATGAGTAAGGTTAACACAGTATATTACTAAGACAAAAATGTAACCAATGAAGGTGCATGTACAAAGGTTCTCTCGGCAAAACTGGATTCAGATGCAGAAACACCTCCAGGTGTAGAACACAGGTCGTCTGAGAGATGGAGCCTCCCATCCATCACCAAATGAATTTTTCTGCATCGCACAAATGTAAAACATCAAATACATGTACATGTACATGCATTTGTACTGTGAAAGCCTTAGATAATTCCTGAATCAGGGATGAGATCTGAAGAAAATGAAATATACACAAAAATAATCACCAGCCGCGTAGGGTCTATGGTATACATTTGTGTTTGCTTGAATGCACCCCTTAAAATGGCCATTTTTGTCCAATATTAACTTTTATATATGAAAACGCCTTCAAGAAAAACTAATTTTTAAGGAGATTGTTTGACCAATCCTTAAATCAGGAAATTTCTGACAAAAAACTCCTGAAATCAGGAAAATATTCTAACAAATATCACCCTTGTGAATAAATTCTTGCATCACCTTATCTGGAAAGGAGCCACGTTATGAGTTTGCATTTACCGTGGAATGAAATTTCAACATTTGCGGAGTAGCCACACCCTGTGTTGGAATAAATAGTTCAATGATAACCAAGCATCCATCGATCAGATAACAGAGATTTGTCCACGAAAGTAAACTCTGTGTGGGACGACTGAGTAAAATAATTTATGACAGAAATGCTACACATACAGAACTTTGTATTTGCCAAAGTCTACTAAGTTTCCTTCGTTTCTAAACCCTGAAACATGTAACAGAATCCACCAAAATAAAGGTGACAGCCTGCAAAGGCAATGGATAACAAGCATGAGACAAAAACCTTTTGTATGCTGTTAGGATCAACAGAGACAACTGTTGAATTTTTGTTGCATTTTGCTTTGAGTAAAATTAGCAAACATTAAAATTTTAACAAGGCAGGCAGTGCTAGCTTTCTGATGAACAGCCAGAAATAATTTACAAACTAATTCACATGGGGATGTTTTGATAGCTTAACATACATTTGAGGATCTCTGGTGTCGTCTGTCAACATGATTTAATACGGAAAAAACTAAGTTACAAAAAAATACAGATTTTTCCAAGGAAAACATGATGCAAACTTTTCCTCCCCGACTAGTCAAATCAAGGCAGTGCAGTTTAACATATGTGAACAAAATGTATTACAGCCGCCCATAAACTGAGCCTCGTGGATTTTTTGGGCATTTTGTTTCAGCTCACATTGAAAAGAGAAAATTCTGGTCTCAGTTTTGATGTACGTCCTGATGGCAATTGGCATCATGTAGGTGAGAACGTTGAAGGGACTCACAGATTCCTTTAAACTAAAGTGACTTGTGACTCATTTTCCGAGAAAGGGTACCAATTCCAGTGAAATTTTCTCCATTAATTCCAAAAATACCACACTGAACTTTCCAGTGATCAGGTACACATGGAAGGTACACTGTCCAGAACTCCATACGTCTTTGGTTAGGACATGAACAAAGAATCATCTACATGTACATGCATTTGAAAAACTTAATGGGACTCGGCAGAAATGCGCAGAGCTTTGCAAAAAATTCTACTTACAAAAGCTAGTACATGTACATACCAATGACTAAGATTACAGTTTAAAAAATACAGCAAACGTACATGGTTGTAAGTATAAAAAAAAAACCTGCCTTCGCAGCATGCATGTGAATATAAAGCTGACTGTACACTGAACATATTACAATTGTGACAGGCAAGTCCCTTTGTTTCTCACCAAGTTTGTTTCACATTTAAATTTGTTAACATGCACCAATTTTTATGGAGCTCTTATTGCTGGAGAGCAATCACTCAAGCAAGCAAATCGGGGCCAAATTTAAGATTTCTGTAATAACCATGGAATTACGCCCATCATTCTGAGCTTAGAGAAAAGAAATTCATCAGTATTGTTTGAAGCTTTGGAAGGCAGAGTGCAGTGGCATACAGAGAAGTACATCTACTGTTTAGGAGGTGGTGCTGTCTCTAAGAAGACCTGGTGAGGAGGGTCTCTACGTTTTGAACAGTGTGCTTTGTTCATCTTCAGTAAACTAATAATGAAAGAAGAAGGTTTCCTGGAGAGAAAGGGAGCACACTCTTTCAAACATGACCTTTCTCACCATCATTTATTCTCGGGGCAATAATTCTTCCTATTCCTACAGCGTACTCGCCACTATTACTTCCCTGTACACTGAAGTTCCAGCACCAACACTGAGAGAACAGGATCCTCCGTTATGCGATGCATGCACGCACATCAGTACATGTAGTTTTTGCTATCCTGTGACATGCTGTTGGCACAATCTTTCATCAGTGGATACTCTTAACAGTGCTCAGAACCAAGCCATGGGCCAAACTGCACACAGCCATAATGAATATATGAATTTCTAACAGGTGTAACATACTGTAAAAGAAAAGTATTTGTGCCAACAAAGATGCTTTTCTTTTTGTTTCACGTGCTTTGAAGCTCCATAAAAGTAACCCTACAATATGTTTCCATTTTCAAGTATGCCGTATAGCTTAAGTAGTAAAGCATAATAAGAACAGAAATACAACATTCCAAGGGTATACAGAAATCTCACTGACACAATACACTTAAACTCAAAATGGGTAAAATGGGAAAAATCATTTGACTAGTTTCATCAGTTTTGCCACGATATTGTGCTGTTCCTTCACACACGTACATCTAAGCTAGAAAAAGAGGGCGTCTCACAAAAGCACAATTCTAAATTGAGTATGTACATAGTACAACCCTTGGAAGAACGTCAAAAGTTTAAAAAAATACACACAGTATCGGTATGTAAACACAGACTAGACCACGTACATTCGTCAAATACACGTACATCAAGGGGCGAGCAAAAAAGCAAAAGATCTGGCTGTTTTTTTTTAGATGGAGTGGATCTGGTATTCCAATACCCTGCTGCTTCCTCAGCGCCGTGGCAATGGTGACCGTCTGGATCGGTCAGTGTATGCAGCAGGGGCCCTGTCGTAGCGGCTGTAGCGATCAAACTCACCTCGGTCATACCGGGCACTGCAAGGAATTTCAAATGGGTAGACTGAATCACCTGTTTTCTGAGATACATGTACCTCAACATTTACCATACACTTTTGGAGGATCCTGCAGGACTGATTGGTTTTTCCTACAGTGGAGGACCTTGGACCATTTAGCAAAATTCTCAGCAAACTTTCTGAGGGAGTAAGCTCCTCCCTGATTAGCAAAACCCACAAGCACAGACACTACTGTTCTTGGGATGTGCCCCTCTAGCTGGTACTGTGGTCCCTAAATCTAAAGCTGGCAACGGTGCTGCTCACAAAGAGGAACTATTTCCAATATGTGGTCTAGTTTGGGGGGAGAATTTGCAGATCAGGCAAAACAGAACTGTGCCACAATAATGTACAGAGATGACAGGTGGACAACTGGGGACCCTTATTAGTAAGAGTTAAAAGGGGATCAGGGTAAGGGTCCCTTACCTAGCTCCACCACCAGCTACCGGAGCTCTGTACTCTCGGTCAAAATCCCGGCCACCATCCCGTGGGGCATAACTCCTGGGGGAGGCGTAGTCCCTGGCAGAGGGCCCATAGTCAGCTGTTCCGCCTCCATAGTCACGCCCCCCTCCGTACTCCCGACTCATGACTCCGTACTCTCTTCCTCCGAAGTCTCGCCCTCTCTGGGGCGGGGGAGGGGACCTGCGAGGGGGTGAAGTATTACAGTTTGGACAAGTTACATGTATCTTTCCCTTTCCCATTCGAGAGCCTCTACTTCGACTGTAGTTGTTAAAATGGAATTCAAATGTTCAGCCAGTGCAATAAATAAAACCTGCAGGTAATCAATTGGACAGAAACAACTGCCTTAACTTCTAAACGCAAGAACATTAATGGTATCCAGACGTGCTATAAGCAGTATCTCCACTGGATTAAGAAGATCTACACAGAGAACACAAGACCTTAATCAATGTCTCCAGTAATGTTGGACTTTGGACAGTTCCTGAATAGGCCAGTTTGGTGTTTCAGAAAGGCACTGTCACTGGAGAACAAAGTTCCAGACGTAGCAACTGTTTGAGTGCGTTCCATACATGTGAAAGGCATACGTCTGCACTGATACAGCTGACCTTGCACACATCACTTTGATGCTTACCACTGGCTTATAATATACTTCATTTAGAGCATGTGCTGTCGGAACACCAAACCTACAGTGTACTGACAACCATTTTAACTGTTGGATATTGTTGGATGGAGCAAGGTTGCAGCAGCAAAAAAAAAATTTGTTTTTTATGTCTTGAAAAATGTTTACCAAAAGATACAAGCTTGAAAAAACCTGTCCAACTCGCCAACTTCTCACCAAAAGGTTTTTGTGTGGAAAGGTCTTACACTGTTTCTTCAAGCTGTCAATTGGAGTCATCTACGCGCATTACACATCAAACATGTGCATGCAAGTGTACATATGCATGTGCACACTGGGCTCTGGGAGTGTTTCCAGCAAAGCCTCACATACATGTACAATATGTTACTGTTCCCTTTCTATGAGTGTAGCATTCTAAATACCCACTTTCCAGGTTAAATCCTAATAAGAATCCTCATGAGATGCCAGAAAAGCACTGTGCAAGATTCTGATCTTGCTGATCCTAGAGACAATGCATTCAAACTTTGCATGTAATCAGGCCTCAACATAAATTTTTTTTAACTAATTGTCCATCGGGCAAGTAGCACTGGAAATTGACTTGCCCGAGGTAAGATTTTACTTGCCCAAACCCTGGTTTGTGTTGCTCATCGCTTCCCAGGACAGTAAGTTCCTTCTTCGCCACAATACGACATGAATATCACCCCCAACTATTGCGTCCATCTATGCAGGGAGTGCACAGGACTCTGATGCATCATTCATGCAAGTGTGGGCAACGGCTATTTCTTAACCACCGGACAATTTTGTCTGGTGTCATATATGCAAAAAGTACACACAGGTACCAGGCAAAATTAAGTAATGTTTAAGTCACAGCCACACGTAAAACAGTCTTTGAGCTTCCAGCCGTGAAAACTCTGCTGTGCCGCGCTTGCAATAAGCAATGAGGTTTGGTACCCAGACACATGGGTATTTTACAGTTTATTTGTGTGCATTTTCCCTTGTGCGGAAAGGTGTCCTGCTAAATGTACAGCATGTAACAATGCAAACAATCATTGTACACCACGTAGCTGTATACTTTTTACCTCTTTTAATAAGCTCTTGTGAAGAGGAAAAAAACAAATCAAAGGTAAATTTGCTGACTGCTATTCCTGGCCACGAAAAACGGACACTTTTATGTAAAAAAAAAAGTACCTGTCTGGGATCCTTAACTTTTACTTGCCCAAAAGAAGACATTGCTTGTCCTGGGCAATCAGACAACCGTTAATGTTGAGGCCTGCATGTACATGTAAGTGGCAGTTTAATACACACAGTGCTCTTGGCAGCTAGGGAGTTCACATGTACATACGTACAGTGTTAATAGATCATATGTACACATAGCTTTCAACTTTCACAGTGCTATCTGCAGGTTCAAAATGGATAATGGATGGATAAAAATACTTTTTAACCATTACAAATCAAAATCCAACAAGACTCTGTGTAATTACATATACATTAAACAATTAAATTAAGACGAGCATATCGTGCCATAAAAGGTAAGTACATGTCCATGCCAACTCCTTTGCTTGCCACTGGTTTCAACTACGGGGAAACAAGGTACACGGGCATGGAATCAACAGGAGGCACATGTAGTTGCACATGATCATATGCAAGTCTAATGCACATGTACATGTGAGTTATCAGGACTGTTGCTTTCACATGGCAAAGAAATGCAGATGGCAAGAAAGTTCGCATGAACATGGGATTACCCCCTGAATCAAGCTAAAAACAAGAAGACAATTGAAAGGAATGAGTACCATTTCATAGAGACGAGCAGCCTCGGCAAGTTCAAAGGTTTGCCTCCTCATAAGTTCCTCACATTACCCTTAACACAGAGCCTTGGAAAGGAGGTTTAAATTTCCAACGAGAGCATCTGTATCCCAGCTTTGAGAGCGAAGATGGGGATCAAGCTGTGAAGTAGCATAATGCAGCATGCCATCTAAGCATATCATTCAGGGGAGCGAAGTTCCTAAGTTTTGTTTATCAATACAACAGCGGTTACCAGCTCGCAGAATTTGCAGACATGTTGATAACGCGTTGCAAGAGTGAGAGAGAGAAGCAGAAGGATAGTTTCCAGGATTTTTTTTTGTTTTGGAAAAGCGGTCATCATAAACAAGCGTGTAGCAAAGGTCGCTTCATTTTATTCCACTGGTTCGGAACACGGAGAAATCTAAAAGTACCAGTAGTGAAACATCAATAATGCAAGACTTTCTTCCCAACCTTGGGACTCAGGAAATGGAAGCAAAATCTCAGTAGAATTTATGATTATCGATCAATGGGTTTTTCGGAGACAGCTGCAAATTCTTGCAACTGTGCAAAACTAGTTGGTGCATAGTCGCAGATGCGTCCTTCGTTTGTGTGGACAAGCGAATTTTGAGCTCGCATATTCAGTGAGGGAAGTGGCGCGTGTACTGCATTACGAGGATTCACCTTTGACAGAGATTGGAGAGGAGGTCACCAGAAACATCTCTGGATGATTGCGATTGATTAGGCATGGCCTGTACTCATTCCCTTTGGCATCTTATCCACATGAATAAAAACTGATGAACACAGAGAAATCTGATATCTTTATTTTGCTTTCCATGCATCAGGTGCAGATACAATGGGTGTCAGAACTCTCGATCACAGCGTTTACTGCATATGAGTACATGTTGTACTAAGCACATACACGTACACATTACGAAGACAAATCAAGCCACTGCGTTGTTACACGTAGATCGGTGAGTGTAACCAGGTACATGTACGATATACTATAGAAACAATTTCAACTCATGAAGATGGTGGTTTGTTCCAACAAACATAAATTTTCATCGGTTTACACATGACTGCTATCATCTTCGTGACCTGCTTCCCTTCTCGCGAATGTTGCCATCAGTTGTAATCACAAAACTGCCTCGTAGAAAGTTATTGCAGTGTGTAAGTGCTAAACTACGGAGTTCCACTGTTGAATGATAATGCGAAGTTAAGGTTCACGTAGGCGGGCAGGTGCTGATATTGCAAGTACGGCAACTCGGGTGCAGGTGATTTCAACTGAGTAATGCTGGAGCTGTCATCTCCTTCAAAGGTTAGTATTGAGATATTAATTGCTCATATTATGAGCTTATCAAAAACAAGTAAAGCCTCGCAAAATTGAAGAATTCACTGTGTATGTAGGAAATTGATGACAATTGTTAAATCTGCGAAGATTATTAAAGTGACGAGAAATTTACGCAGATGTAGGGAACAACTGAAGGAAATGGTCCGGAGTGTCCGGTGGCACACAGAGTAAACGGTTCTTGGTTTTTCAGAACATCATTCGAGAGAAATAAGGTTGTTTCTGGGGGGGGGGCAACACTGAACAAAACAGAAACTCGATACACTCAAATAGGGGGGCAATGCTGGAAGTTCAGCTGTGGCAAATGCGTGGAGAATCCTCGAAGGCATCTGTAAACACGGTGATGGAAATAAAGACGTGAATATGTACGTGCATGCATGTATCGCTGCAAAACATTTCCTCAACATTGGTGGATTTATAGAATTGGGGTGCAGTGTTGCTGGATGCAAAGAACAGCGGCTGGAGTCGTTGCTGAAAAAGAACACCTGTGAGTTATGTCAATACAAGTCCATAAAACACATGTGGGAGGGGAGAAATGCCGGAACATTTTGAACATGCATCTTCACTATATTCTTACGCTAAATAGTGCCCCGATACAGATCTGATGGATTTTTGAGACGACTTTTGACAGCGTAGAGGAATTTTGAACTGACAGACTGTGGGGTGCAACTCAGATACATGTACATGCCAAGGTTTTGCATACTGTACTACCCAATTTGTGGGCTTACGGGATTTACGTGAACATGTCCACATGCTATACAAAGCAAGTGCCATGTTTGCTCATGTACCAACGGCAATTGATAGCGAAGTGAAGATCAGTGTTCACGTTGCGCGATGTGCGTATAAATACCTTCTGCGAATTGGAGATCTACTGCGATAGGCGGCAGAATCGTATCTGCTTCCATATTGATCGGCACCATAGCGTGCTTTGGGCTCATCGCGATATGCACCACCTCCTCCGCGGGCTGGGTAGTCCCCATAACTACCATAGGACGGGGGAGGGCCTCTGCCACCTCGAGAATCCCAATCTCGGCTACCGCGTGATCCCCGGAAACTGCCCTCACGTGACCCGCCGCGCATTCCTCCACCTCGCCGGTCGCCACCGCCCCGAGTGCCACCCCGGCCTCCGCGGCCGCCCCGCTGGTTGCCCTTCGACGGCTCCACCTTGATCCGCGAGCCCAAGAGGTTGGCACCGTCTAGATCCCGCATGGCCCTCTCCGCGTCCACAGCGCTGTCATACTCGATAAAGGCAAAGCCTGGGGGATTCCTGGCCATCCATACATCGCGCAGACTTCCATATCTTCCGAACTCGGCCTCAATATCTTGCTTGGTTGTGTCAGGATTCAGCAAACCCACATATAGCCTACCCTCCGTCAACATCTTGATCCTTTCCGAGAATCTGTAAAGACACAACAGCATACAATGTACATGCACTCATATCCTAACAAGTAATTCTTCAAGTGCCAAGGAATTCTTTAGCCTTAATGTATTTGACAGAAATCAATGATGGATCGCACCTCTGAGTCCTGCGATACATTGTACTTTAACTCCTCTCTGATATTCACCAGGCAAAGATTTGGGGATTTTTAATCGAATTAATGCCGATTAGTAGCAGCTTGGAATGATGGTTTCTTACACACCCTGCAATACATACACCTTACCTCTTCAAAATAAGGAACAAGCTGACAAGCAACCCTAGCACTGTTCCTCTAAGTATAGGGCCATTCCCTATCACATCATACAAAATCGGAGTAGGCCTAGCCCATCTCCCATGTGACCTGACTCAGATTTGCCTCAAACATCCCTTTAAAATTCCATAACACACCAAATGAAGAAAACACAGTTCTGGCTTGCCTAAGCCTGATGGTTCTGTTTTCCTTTTTAATGGGCAAAGGCTATATCCCAGTATACCCTCTGAATGATTGGCTGCCATGTCACATTCTGGCATAAACATTACAAAGGAACTGGTTTATTATGCCCTTACCCAATGTATATTAATAAGCGCTGTATGCTCAGTGCTTGTCTGAGAGCTTGCGAAAAAAACCTCATAAGCTTACTTGGGTGGGACTCGAACCCACGACCTCCTGTTTACTAGTGCAGATGTCTTAACCACTCGACCACCGAGCTTGCCGGGGGTCGGCTGGCTGGTCCGAGTCAAATGAAGCAGCGGGTACCGCAAACTATTTTCAAGATGTATTTTTTTTTTATTGAACTACTTTCAAGATGTACATCTCCCCAACGCAAAAATTTATCTTGAAAATAGTTCGCGGTACCCGCTGCTTCATTTGACTCGGACTAGCCAGCAGGTACCCCTACAGTTTATTTTAAAAAGAGGAGATTTTGTGACCCAAGAAATTGTGGGATTGTGTAAGAATGGCCCAGAATGAACTCCCAAGATTCAAGAGCTCCCAGACAAGCAGCGAAAAATGCTATTGAAATATCGTCCCAAGAGCCTGAAAAAGTAGAGTGATGTCATTTGAAAAATGGCTGCTGACAGACTTGGAAACGTTCACTTTTTGGGGGCTGAGTTTGTTTTGGTGGATAAGTAATAATTTCATCGGTTTACCTACGCTTCTAAAAAAATGAAAATCAACTGAAACCCGAATGACCCCAAAACACATTTTATTTTGTTTGGGAGGCCTGTGAACGTGGTTGATTTTACATTGACCATGTGGGAAGAGTTCCATATACATGTATGGATGCTATAATCCACGTGCTCGTTGCAATTGGAATGTCGTTACTGCGCGTGCACGGGCATTTGCAGGAACATTGGAAGCTGTCCCTGAGATGACGTGTTTCTGTGGGTTATAAAGGGGTATTCCCCATTAAGTCATCAATATGATGTGTTCTAGTGAGGGGCATTCCCCATTAGGTCATCAATATGATGTGTTCTAGTGAGGGGTACATGTATTCCCCATTAGGTCATTAATATGACGTGTTCTAGTCACATGGTACTATCCTTAAAAAAACAAAATGGAGGTCAGAACTTCGAGGGATTGTCTGCACCATCTTAACCCTCCTTTGGTTTTACAGCACAAATGTGCACAAATGCCCACAGTCACTGGTGAGCATGTAGTTTCTATATGGAACTCAAACATGCATAGGTTCAGTGTGTACACAGTAGGTTACCAGCACAAAATTACCCAGGATCTTTTGTGCAGTCCTCTTCACTGCATTTGGTTCACTGCAAAATTATTATTCACATGAAACAGTGAAGCACAGTTGTTGGGCAGCACAAAAGTGCTATCTGATATTCCTGTGAGGGACTGTCGGTGCAGTGCACAACACAACACAGCTGTGCTTCATTGAGGTGTTTACCAAGTGACCCACAGAGCGACTTCAGCATAGGAGGGTTAACTTTGAGCTTGTATTCAACTTCTTGCTAATAACACTGACAAAATTTGTGTGAACTTTCTTTTATTTTGCCTTTGTACATGTAAATCTGATACCAAACTAATATGAACATAACGGTAACCTGAAAAAGTAAACCAAGTACGTCCTAATTACTACATTTGTGAATTATTGACGTAATTAAGTAATTATGCTCTTAATTACATGTATAGAGCATCCAAACAAGGATATATCAGATACTTCACAATCAGTAAAAAAACTGAAAATTTCATGCATTTTCTTGTGTATTACAAAACGTAGTCGTAATCACATTCATGTGCTTTATCCAATAGGATTATTTTCTGGGCTCATTTAAAATATCTAAAAATTTTGTAACATCCCTAACACCTATACGGACGCCAGTATTTATCATAAATGATTATTCCCCTCAGTGGCTTATTACTATTAACCGTCAGAAGGCAACAACATGTCGAGACAATTCAATTTAGGAAGGAGAAAAACAAAGTCGATTACTTAGCACTTTTTGTGATTTTTTTCAGACCGGTCCATAGGGTTTGTGCACAAGGCCGCGGCGTCACATGGAGTCCATATTAATAGGCCTACCGTAGTCGTACTAGCATGGAGGGAACTCTTTCCACCAATTTTAATTCCAAATCTACCTCCATCAACGACAAATTCAATCCTTGAGAAGCAGCTCTAATACATCTATATGACGTGTTCATAACAAACTATGAAAAAAAACTTGTTCTAAGTTGAAATTACCGTAATTTTGTGCTGTATCGTAAAACTCGACCTCTCCAGACAGCTTCCACACAAACGATAGATGAGTACAATGCATGAGCGTTGTTGCGCGCGATCGGTCAATCTGCGCGATCGCTCGATATTTGCGCGATTGGTCGATCTTACTGCACCAAGTCAATAATTCCGTTATGAGCCAATCGGCTTTTCTTTTTATTCACGGTTGTGAAAGAGTGCTTCAAAAAGGGGACATGTGAAGTAGGATTTCATTCAAGATCGATCAGTCGCGCAGAGTAATCAAATGAACGTGCTGGTCAACCGATTGCGCATTAAGCGGACTTCGTGCGCGTCGCGCAAGGGGCCGGCGACCATGCCGTGCCGCGGCGTACCAGCGGGCACAGCTTTCTCCATAATAATAACGTACAGGTTACCAGTACGGACGTACGTTGTCACGTACGTACATATGTACATTTTGTACATGTACATGGTTCCCGTGTACATTACATGTACGTACTGCATACGCGTACACAGTAGGTGACTGGGGCAGGGTTAACTTCTGAGGACAAGCTTGCCTTGGAACTTCAGCATTTGGAAGTGTTATAAGTACATGTATTACTTAAGTTTGAAATTTAAAATGCCGACTGACGTGGAAATATTAATGGAAATGGGGTTTTCGCAAAACAGAGCGTGAGTTCATGTTGTAGGTTCTATTTTACTTGTAATTATTATATTGTAGCCCCAGCCCAGCTCAGTAGCTGTCATTTGATGACGGACCCCACAGTTCTGGGGTAGGCTTATTTTTATTCATGTATCATTCTTGGAAATAAAGTGAAGTGAACATGAAGCGTATACACCAGAGACCAGTTTTTTTGCAAGATATCAACTAATGTCGTAATCACCTTCCGTAAGTCACTCACAGCCAGTTTGAAAACAATGATTAAAACTTAATGACTTTCACAGCTTTTGCCCAACCGGAATGAGTGTCAGTGTGAGCACAGTGACAGCTAGCACAGCATGGAGAATGTATTAAACGTTAACTGGTCAGCATGGTTTGGCTGCATCCGACATGTCCGAATCTGTTGTCTAGAGTTACATGTAGGTCTTGGTCTTTACTCCACTGGAAAGACGGGCAGACAATAGACCTAGCCGTAGCTCTGGAAGCCTGTTTCGGACACAGCCTTATTAGTTGGGCCATACTACACTAGTGATGGATTGCATTCGTGAGAAAACTCGGCCCCCACACTTGACTTAAATGTAATAAATTATGATGTAGGTCTAGGCGGTGTCAGTCACTTCGCCCATGTACCAAGTTGCCCATTCGCCACTTCGCCCATTTGCCACTTTACCCACTTCGCCCATTTACCACTTTGTCTACGTGCCACTCTGTGGGTCTGCATGCACATACATGCACAGAATTAGCCATGCTCAAAAATGCTCTCTATCTCATAGTAAGGGCAGGAATTTACATTTGATTTAAAAATGTTTAGAAAACTTTTCTATACCATTCCATACGTTTAGCCAAAACTTTACAGAGGCCGCCGCCACATACCTCACTGCTTTCATAACTTTCAACAATGTACATGGTCCAACCAATATAAAAATGTAGATTGATGTTGGGGCATTTAAAAATAGCAACGTTTATTGTTTTAGAATCCACTTTTTTTCTCAAAAAACACATGGAGCAGGCATCGTTTACAATAAAAATGAATGCCAGATTGCGTCAATCAAAATTCTAAACGGAACGGTTCCCTTTAAACATTTGGGAAAATCTGTAACTGGACTTTGTAAACGTCCCACCGTTATCTCAAAGCCAGCTACAGAGTCAAGGTTGACTGCCCACCCACCGTTTATGTCATTCTCAAAGCGCTCTGACTTTGTACCTTTGTTTGGACTACAGATGTTTTCCCCAACAACTCCCATTCACTTCGTTCTCAGATTACCCAGACCCCATAGCTGCATACATGTAGCCTAGCCGGCTACAGGACAGTCTGTTTAGACTTGGAATTCTTTCTCCTACATCATTCCGTAGCCTTTTAGCCACCAACATGTACATTGTACAGAGAGCTCAGGTGGGGCTTCAAGTCTGTTTTCATTTTCAACGGTCCCGTGGGCATCTCCTCTGACTAACTACAGGGTATCCTGCAATTAATCCCACTGTTTGTAGTTCGCAGTACAGAACAAAGTCAGTTCTTTGATTTAATTTATCAATTCGGGCATTTCACAATAGTGCGCCTCCAAGAGAGTTTGCAACGCGTTGGCCAATCGCAGTGCGCGAAGTTTGTCGACCAATGTGCATTTGGAAAGGGTAGACAAATTTCGAGCGTTGTGATTGGCCAACACGTTGCAAACTCTTGGAGGTGCATTAATGTGAATCACCCGTATTACATGTACCCGGTACATGTAGTTTGGTAACCTGGAGAAAAACGGACATTATGGGTGAATTATGTTGAAGTTTTGAATTTAGCATGTTTAGCAAGAGTCTTTCAAAGGAAGCTTTGGCCATTCATTTTGTTAACATTTAATCTTAGATACATGTACAATGTACGTTATCAAGAAATTTTTTTTTATTATTTTATTTTTTCCTCGGCATCTGGTTTACAATTTGTACTTTTTAATTTTTAAACTTTTAATTTTTAACTTTTTTACGAAACCTGTAAGTATTGAACTTTTTTTTTTTATCGCAATTAGAGTTAGTTATTGTCTTTTCTATTTATATTTATTTTTAATAGCTAACCTGTAAATGGGGATATTGTCGCTGTTGGTTATGGAAACGAAATAAATAAATAACTAAACTTTACATCCTTTCATTTTTATCAGACAAAGAGCTCTGGCAGCCACCCAGTATAAATCTGTCCAGGTTGCAATGGATTGGTAAGCTCATGGAGTCCTTAACCTTCAATTTCAATTTTGCAGTCAGAAGAATTAGTCTCTTTCAAAGTCAATGCAGGCATGCTGACTTGTAACAGCTCTTTGATGGAAGTTCAGGAACAGCAACCACATGCATAGTGCACAGGTTTTTGACAGCACTGAGTTATCCCATTAACAAGTGATTAACGCACACACATCACTCCCTCCCTTGTCCTTTTACAAAGTGAAACTGTTTCATGTAAAGTGTCCTGTGAAGAAATTTTGTATTAACTCTAGCCTCCCCATATCCTTGAGAATCCATCCAGAGATTAGGAAAGATTTTTACCGGATTGAGGAAGGTAGAGCCCAGGTAGAGGGCTTTGATGAGCTTCGAAACCTTCAAGAATTTCCATCACAGTTGAGGGATATCTCCCTTTAAGAAGGTTCTTATAAAAATGCCAAGAGTGTTAGACTAAACCAGACTTCTTTTTACATCAACTCAATTCAACTAGGATTTCCCCTGCTTACAATGTATATTGCTACCCCGAATTTACTTTGGAAATTTTAGTTTAAACTAGATTTGGACGATCACATGTATTAGCATTGCATGCAGAAGAGTTGCTAGGTAAGTAGCATTCAGCCGGAGCAATCTCTTGATGAGTTAGGTTTTATTACAAGCTTTATTTTAAAGGGCCAACTTGTACTTTTTTGTGGATGGAAGAGCTGGGATAATTCTGATAGCTTGTCTCCACTTGTGTCCCCATTCCCAGGTTATTTGCTCACAGTGATGATCCGGACATCGACGAACCATTCCAAGCCCCAGAGGGCCACAAACTTGGAAGTGACACAAGTCAAGGTAGAGACAAAAGGAGTATCCAGAACCAGTGTGGGGGATGAGGCGAAACTTCTCTATGGAAAGGCAACAAAATAGTTCCCCCCATAATTGCCTTGTTAGCTTCATAGTGTCCAAAAAATAAACAGCTTGGGGGGCATGGCCCACGTTGTCCCCCCCCATCAGTGGGTTGATAAACGAAAAAGGTTTAAAAATCCACACTGATTGTGAAAGACGTGGTTGAGCAGAGAATAATAGAGTAATTTTTATTATTCTGTTAATGACCATCTCTCAAGGAACAAATTGTGTGAAACGGGTCATGTATGTCTGTCATTTTCTTCAACAGCTAGCAGTCACGAACCATCAAACCACTCTAAAATACCAGTACCTCATTAATTGTTATTTGGTCCATCTCCTTTTTGTCTCACTTTCACGCCAGTCTTTCCCTTCCATCTCTTCAAACGTCCTGTACATGCGTTTGCCTTTTCTCTTCCACCAGTAAGTTGACCCTTCTCCGTTATGTCTCTGCCTGCCTGTGGCTTGCACTGACTGATTGCATACCTGTGTGTATGTGTGTGTAATGCACAGGTACGCGGGAGGGCGGAGACAGCAAGTCCCAGCAAGAAGGGGAGGGCCCAACGGCAGAAGGTGAACAGGTGCAGGCCAAGTCGCTCAAGTGTGACGAGTAAGTGAATCGTACTCGTTCTGGCTGTCACTGCCCCACCTGTGCCATCTCTTCAACAGTGCATTGCTGCCACCTGTTGCCGGTCTTAAGGTCTAGTTGGTCATCACGATTCCTCACAGTTATGAGATGTGTCTCAGGCCATGTCCGAAATGGGCTTCCAGAGCTACGGCTAGGTCTATTGTCTGCGCATCTCCACGCATTTCCAATGGAGCGAAGACCCAAACCTAGCTCTAGACAAGAGATTTGGATGTAACCTTAGAGAAAAAACAAATCACAGTCATGCGGGATTCTTGTCAGAAGTGCTCATCATTTGTCTTGCAGATGTGGGAAGAAGTTGAGAACACCAGAAGATGTCCAGGTTAGTGGTCCACTGCCATCAGTGTCTTGCACACAGCATTCCCCAACCCCTCCCGGTGGAGAATGCTTTCCTTGTCAAATGGGCCAAGTATTCCGAGTTCCAAATTTTAAGACGCTCCTTTAAGTTACTAATGACATGGCAGTACAGCGGGAGCATTGAAGTTGGCAGTTGCCCACACAGTCATGAATTCAAAATGAGGGGCTAGCAAATTTTATCAACTTACTGATTTCATGGCTTATGTTCACTGTATCGTTAACTGTTTTGTGTAGACCGTGTATTTTCTTGTACATTGACTTTGAAAGGTTCATGCTGCTAGAACAGGACACGAGAACTTTTCCGAATCCTTGGAGGAGATCAAGCCACTGACTGCAGAAGAAAAACAGGAGCAATTATTGAGGTAATCTCATTGAAAACAGCTCCCAAGGAAAACATCCAGTGAGCTGGTAAAGAAATAAATTGAGGTTTTCCTAAAGGCTCACTGTCAGATATCAGTGGAATAGAGTTTTTCCTCGTCTGTGTTTCCTCTGCAAAATTGTCCGAGATAAGGGTGTCCGTAGCTCCATGGTTCTCATAGTTTTTTTACTTTTGGGAGGGTCGATCGATCAGGGGAACAAAGGAGGGAAAAATTGTTTGAACCCAGAAATTCAGAAGATCGTCTTTTTTCCCTTTTTTTGGGTGGTTGGAAATTCCAGACTGCGTCTGCCGCATAATGATTTATTTTTTTCCTTGGTCAGAGCCAAAAATAAAGGTCGGTCGCAAATGAGAATCACAGAATTAACTACGAACATCCCAATGAAAGCGACTACATCACATAATGGTACATTTGCATGTGGTATCATTTGCACTTTGGAGTTATTGGTCACACGGTGTATTTGGGGGGATTCTTCAACTGTGAAGGGTTAAATCAACTCAGTCATGTAATTCTCAAAAAGTCCATGAGGAAAATGTGTTTGAGATGTCAAAGGACTGGATGCTTCTGTTGGTTGGTCAGTGGACATCGGCTCAATCATATTTTGAATATATTTGGATCAACACCCGCTGGCACATATATGCACATTTGGTATGCACTTGATTTGCACACACACCGGATGGTGTTGAATGCCCAGTTGTAATTTTCATACAAAGATGGTGTCCTGTGAGAGAGCTTTGTTCTGCACAGCGCAGGCTCCAATTGTAGGCTCCAGTCAGTCGTCGTTCAGTGGGGAAGGCTTCCGATCAGTTTCATCGGTCAACCTAAGATGTGCTTCTTACTATCTGCAGCTCTAAACAGGCCCAGGAACACATTCTTTCTTATCCTGGTTGCAGGCTGCAAGAAAGAATGAAACAGCGACAGAAGGAGAAGGCAGAACAGGAGAAAAAGGAGGCAGTTGAGAGGGAGAAACTCCGCCGGAAACAGGGCAGAGAGCTGGTGGAGATGAAACAAAAGTGAGCGTCCCATTCCTTAATGCTGTTGCTCATGACTCCTTCCATGCCCAGAGACGTCTAAAAATTCTTTAAGGTAGCAGACGCAATGGCCCTTTGAATGGTTATTCTAGGACCAGAAATGAAGCGATCTCTTTCATTATTAAGAACTGCCATTTGAATTTTATGTAATATATGAAAAAAAATTTCATAAACAATGTTAAACCACATGCACTTATCTGGATTTAAAATTGATACAAAACTTTTCGTAAAAAATTAGTTCTCTTTATTTCTAAAAACGATGTACACAAGACAAATAAAGGGATAGACTTTTAAAATATAAAAATCAATTACTTTAAAGTCTAATGTCCACTGTTGTTATAACAGCCTAGATTAAGACCTTGGTGTACATGTTCAGTCCAGTGTTACCCACAGACAGTACACAGTGTATTGGCAAATTAAGAGCACTTTTTCCAATTTGAAAGTTAAAGATCGTTTCAACAAATTTTGGTTGAAAGGATGGAATTGGATGAAGCAAAGAAGTTAGCCGAGCTGAAGAAACGGGAAAAACAGGAAGAACGCCTTGCGAGGTGAGGACAAGAAAATGTTGCGGAGGAAAAAAGAAAAAACAAGTCAATATGAATTGGTGGATTTCATGATTGTAGAACCTGTGTTCCATTCATCAGTTTGACTGTGCCACTTGATTACTGTACACCATTGAATTGTAGTAGTCTTAGAATTGTCCCAAAGAATCTCTGAGGTGTAGAGTTGACGACACTTCATCGTGAATGCGTTGTGAAAGACAAACAGTGACCATTTTCAAAACTTTTGAAGTGGGTTTTGTTATGTTTGAAGAGTATGTTGAGTAGTTCAGATTGCCCACTTAAAAAACCTGCGAAAGGAAAATGACTGTAAATGGTTTTACATTTACCACGGAGGGTGTTGATGCAGAGTGACTGATCAGTTATGTACGAGCCTTTTCTTGTTGGTTCACTGAAATTGAAGACAGAGAGTAAAAGAGGAAATAGAGCGAGACAAGCGTGAGAGAGCAGCAAGGTACGGCAAGGTGTCTGCCGAAGCTAGCCAGCCAAAGCCCCCCACCCAACCCGCTGCCCCTCCGGCTGTAACTGCCACTGCAGCACCTAAGAAGGAGTACGACACGACCAGACTTCAGGTACAGAGAACGTTTTGCAGTCTTCCATCTGCCCGCTAGACTCATTTTCAGTCTCTGTCAAAATAGTTTCAGTGACAAGTGGTGGGCCGCTGCTCTCTGCATATGATTGGCCCGAATGACGAGAGAATGAGTTTGATATTGATGTGCCAGAGTGTGAAGTGTGTCAGGTCATGACCCAGCTGTAACTCAGATTGTCGTTTCTCCCGGCCTTCAAGAGAAAGAGCACAAGGACGTACAATGTAATGAAAGTGCCTTCAGAGTTGATTTGGGATGCATGTAATAAGACCGAAATTGCTTCACTGTTGTAAATCCAAGCATCCTTGACTGACCGCACAAAAGGAGAGTCTTTAAGGTCAGTGTTTTCGTACCGGTGATGTGGTTTTTGTTTAGAAAGAGCAAACTAAACTGTTCCTTTTGCGGTATCATTCAGTTTGGCTTTCTGATGAAATGGACCTCCCAGGCGCAAAATGTTGAGGCTCCCCATTGATTTACAATGAGCCAAGGTACGATGAGTCAAATTGGTGTTTCATTTAGGTAAGGTCATTTGAGAGCAAAGCAATGCCACGCGAGTTTGAACATGTTCAGTGCGTATTAGTTGGCTTCTGGCTGAGCTGATATGGCGGACCTCACACATGCGTATTGATGCTCTTGAATGTGCTTCACATTGTGCATACGTGCTGGAATACTGAACTGCCTCATTGAAAACACTGCCCTCGCTTGACAGCGTCAGTTGTGATACTCAGCAGTCTCAAGCTGGACGTCTTTCCTCTCACTCAGATCCGACTTCCCAACGGCTCGGCACTCACCAACTCATTTGGAGTCTCGGAGCAGCTGGCGGCGGTCAGGCTCTTCGTCCAGCTCAACCGGACGGACGGGAGCAGTGCTCCCTTCAGCCTGATGACCACGTTTCCCAAGAAAGTCTTCACAGAGGAGGACATGGAGAAACCGCTCAAAGAACTAGGTGATTTGCTGATGAAGCGTAATAACCTGATATTAAAGAGACACGGAGTCCTATCCTGTCAGTGATCTGTCCAAAAAGTGTCCATGTGGCTCTTTTAGGAAGGAATCGGCCTTGCTTGGTGAACCATTTCACTCCCCTGCTTCCTAGCTGCGGACGGATATATTTCAGAGAACTTGCTTGAGAACCAGGAAGCATGACACATGAAAAATGAACATGTATGCAACATGGAAACTGGGAAAAGCAGTTGGGGTAACGCTTCTGTTCAGTTTCCCCTGTTGCTTGATAAATTCATGATTTGTGTGTTGGATGCTTAGAAGTTGTACATTAAAATCCAAGACAGTTTTGGCGAGAGAAATGCACTCAGTAGTTTGTGGTGTAATTCTCTATCTGTGGTTAGTGGAACAATGTCCAAGTGCACGGTTGAGTAAACAGTGGCTTAAATAACTTTTTTTTAACCTCTTCAGGTCTGGTGCCTTCTGCCGTCCTCATAGTGACAAAGCCAGCGTCATGATGGCTGGTATCTTGTCCCCTGGTTCATCTGCATTCATCACTTTCCTGTGGAGCTTAATGTCTTTACCTCGTCTGCACCACAAGACCCAATTTCCGAGCTGTCCTCTGATGGCTGTTTCACTCTTCTAGATCACATCCAGTGGAGGGTGGTGAAAAAAAAGCAAACCATTTCTGTGGAACACGTATGATCTTCACACATAAATGAAAAAATACCGAGAACATACAGCGCATTGTGATAGCATTTCCTGTTGGGGTTTTTGTTAATTTTGGAACAGACCAAGGCATCAGTACGTGTACGTATGAAATGAACTCAGAGCTTTCTTATGCATAGAAGATTTCTAATCATTGAAATGTTTTTAAACTGTTTTGGTTATTGGAATAAAGAGAACATTCTTTGTTCCTGTTCATAATAATTTTGACAATAGATCTATACTAATGCATTTTTGGACGATTTGGGGTGAATAAAATCCGGAATTTATATTTTAGATTTGAATTACACAATTGAACAAAGAGCTTTCATTCTTTCTTCTGCGGCCCAATGCGTTAGATGTACACCGTATCCTGGTCCCATGTGAACTTGTAAACATTCTTGGCATAACAGTCATGTTCTTGGATTTCGGTTTCTTTTATTGTCTCAACTATAAAAACTTGTAATGTGACAGAATGTTGCCACTGCACACACTCCATGAAATAAACAAAATTCTCAGCATTTCAATATAAAGTTATTGTGTATGTCACTGACGTTATTTACAATCTGAAGGAGATTGCAGTAACTTTTACAGTCGTATTCGCAGCGATACTTTCCCAAGTCATGAACAGAATAAATGTCAAGAAGTCTTTAATAGAGACTTTCTAGAACCAATAACCTTGCCTACTCTCATTTGTGTGTAACACGTAGGAACTTGTTCTGGCTGGCAGGGGCTTGCTTCCACTGTGTGCTGTTCAGTCAATAATCTTCAAAAGACTCCTGAGCAAGCTAGGCTAAGCCTGCATTCATACATACTAAACGTCTCTGGCATTGGCACCTGGCCTACAGCTTTCCATGTATCCAAACCCTCTAGTCCTGATGCATCGTGCAATATGGACCTTGACATATGGACTATGAGTGATTGGATGCAAGTGGCTTAATATGCACGGAACAATCTGACAATTGGAACTCATAGCCGTGTGTGTGCATGTACCTTGAAGTGCATTGATGGTTTAGCTGTATAGTTTTTTACTTGAATATATCTGCCGATTTCTTTTTTAATTCCCACTTGTGCAATTACAAACTGGGAAAACACTACAAAAGTCTGTGCTGCTGAGATTTCCCTTTGCTTCCCCTGAATTCTCAGTTGCATGGCTAAAGACTCCAAACCCACAAACTTCTCCCAATTTCACATGACACAAGTGAAAAGGTCAGGAGCACGCAATTCATGTACTGTGGAGATCCATACAAATATACCAAGGCAGCCTGCTAACTAGGCGAACACATGCAGCTTCATTGTCGGTCTCAACACATCATTCAAAATGGGTCGCATACATGCACGGTCAGCATGTAAGCAAGTATCGAACATGTTCACTCCTTGTAATACATGTGATTTTCACTGTACTTTTATGAATAGAATCTCCCACAGGCTATGGGCTCTTATCAAACTGAATACGTAGTTTTAACTTCATCACTTCCTTCTGACTGCACACAAGGCAAGATTTAGTAAAAGCAATTTATGTAATTTCCCATATATACATGTATACACATACACTGTTTTGAAATCCTTCCAATATTAACACATTAAATCACATCAGTTTAGAGCATTGTGGGCCTTTTGGTTTCCTCACTCTTTAAGAGTTGTCACAGTTTTAACATGTCGGAACTAAAGGTTATGACTGCTACCTGATGTAGTTTTTGGCTTTGGGTGAACTGACAGACAGCGTAGATTGAATCTGCCAATGGGGAGAGGGGTGGAGGGGGCGTAGAGAAGCAACAAAAGTTGACTGTCAAGTTTGCATAAAAAAACCTGTGCCAAAGGCAGTTTAGATGGCATAATAAGTGGTTCATTTGATAATCTAGTGGATAATTCTTCAGCCCGTACTCCCTGGTAAAAAGACAGGGATTTTCCCCATTTCCTCCCCAATCTACATGTATGCTGTTGGCACCACTGTGAAATGACGATTTGGACCAAGTCATGTACCAATAAGGAGCTTTTAAACCACTTCAAAACTCCGATGTGGCGCACTATAATGGATGGTACATGTAACTCAGCAGTTCTGATTAAAGATTACACAAAGTTTGAGGAACATGACATCTGTAGTATACACCCAGTCAGTGTGGACTGCCAAACATCGAGACAACCCTGGCAGTAAAAATGTGCAAGACTGCTGTTATCAAAGGAAATGTTGATGGCACTGCCTCTGTGCAACCAGACTCGGTTGCCTTCCTTTTCAAGCAAAGATGATGCTACAGGACTTGTGCACATTCCGTTAAAAACTGCCAGCTTGCAGAGTGGCGCCAAATGGGTCCATGCTGGCTCTTGGGAGCAGAGGCCACACAGCACCATCTCCATTTCTTTGTACAGAGTCTGTAATGCTTGTTTTTTCTTGAGTGACACTGAACATAAAGATCAGCTGTGGTACATGCGCAGGATGCATTTGGTCAGGGTGGTCATGTAGCGTTCCAGTGTTGCATGCAGCCGGCTGTGCCTATGGAGAAATGGACCAAAATAAACTCAACGTATTATCCTCTGCACAGTTATGCTCCCTCATCCCCCCATCATCTGGCCACCTGTTCACAGGACGGGCAGAACTAAGTCCGGACAGGCAATTTTGCTGAGTCAAAATTAGCAATTCTTTTTACTTAAATCTTTTTGCACTGGTGAACAAGTCTTCACATTTCCTTCCACACTACGGAGTGCAATTGATATATGGACCTCTGATGGCATCAACTGATGTCAGTTTCAAAACCTTCCTTAGAGAGGACAGGCGAGTTTTAACCTTGGATGGAAAAAATACAGGCAGATATTGCAATCCTGGATAAAAACCCTGCCCCCCCCAAAAAAAAACCGCATTTTACCCATATATTTTCAGAGGTGGAATAAGGACAATTGGAATTTTGTTCACTTCGTGTGAGTGCTGAAAATACATGTACTGCAAGCAGAAGATCTAAGTCAAGCTTCAAATAAAACTAATGCTTTCATTAGCAGTATTAAATTAATCAGTTATCACTTTTGTCACGAAGAATCTGTGGGAGAGACATTATAAAACAAATACTGAGTGCTTTATCATGTGGTGCCGTAAACCTAGCCTCCCTTGGTGAGCTATAGGGGCTTTCACACTAGACAAATTCCCTGGGAATGTCCCGGGAAATTGCTGGGGAATTTCGGTCGGTCTGTTCACACTTCCAAAGAAAACTTTTCCCAGGGAAATATTTATCCCTGCTCGGGGGTGGGGTTACAGGAGAAAACCCCGGGGGTTAACATTATTCCCAGGGAAAAGCAACTAGTGTGAAGGTTGGCAGATTTGAACTTACCCCACCTTTTTTGCGTCCACAGTTAGTGTGTTGAGCCATAATCTCAAAAGGTCACAGGGTCACAAATAATTTACATGGTAAGTTAGTATTGTAATGCAGCACCTTTCAAACTTCCCCGTTTTTCCCGGGGGATTTATTTCCCGGAGATTGGCCCTGCAGTGTGAACAGGCCTTATGGAGCATCTATTTTTCCTTGGCTTTGCAACTCAAAGCAGTCAATATCCGTATACTGTGTCCATTTGAATAGAAGTCGACCCACCTTCCCATTCCTTCTATCTGATAACTACTGGAGGTGTAGCATTTCAAGAACAGTGCCATATCATTGCCATTCCACTGAGCTTGCTTCGTAGGCTCAATAATCTAAGGGAAAGACAAACCACAACTTATCTGAGAATTATTTTGCCCCTCGCGATTTGTAGACATATACTGGTACATGACAACAGAGGGAGACATTTATCTCCCTTTGGTCGCTACCAAAGTACTTTGCCTTGGTACATTAGATTGTACTTGTCTTTCCAATTTTACCTCAATACTGATGCTGTGAAATTCAGAGAAAGTTAGGACACTTGTATTTGTGAGAAATATTGCCTACTTCTCCTCACTCTTGACCATGACTTCAGCAACTACTAAACTGTAAATCTACATTACTTCAGTCAACAATTGTGGTGTCAGTATTACTTAACGATGAGATTCAGTTGAACTCTACAAGCTTGTCAGCTCAACTGGTCTTGGTCCCCCAAATAAGGCACTGTTTTTAGGCATTTCTTTAATCACTTGGTTAGACATTTCTTGCTAAGCTCAACAGATTCAAACACTAATTTAGGGACTACAATTACTTCATTGCCAGTGTAAATGGGATATGGTAAGCTTGAGAAGGACAGCGGGAGAAGACGCAGGCACATTTCACTCACAGCACGCATTAACCACTTGTATATAAATTCAAGTTTCCTGTGCACAAACAACCCAAGCTTACGCATGCCACGATGAACCGGCAGAATGTGAATGTAATTCCATCAAAAAGACACTGGCAACAACTTATGCAAAATGCTTTTCTGAAGCTGATGAACAGATATACGGGGCAGTGTGAGAACCTGGTATCTGTAATACATAGCCACGAAACTGGAAATTCATAGAAATAAGGAAGTTATGAACTGCATAGGACTTTACAGTTTTCTTCAGTTTGTTACAGCATACAAAAGGTAATCAGCTGACATAAGGAAAAGTTGCATGTCTGAATATGCATCACACAACACCATGGCAATTGCCTGGCGACTCGTTTGCATTTGCAATGTGGAGTTTTCTATGTTCAACATTATGTTAGGACTTAACAAGTTCCATAAAACAGTCCCCTGTTCACCCCTAAATAAACGAAGTAAAATTTACCCCGAAAAAATAAAACCAGAACAAAAGCAAGGGCCTACCTTCTCTACCACGTCATTGAAGAAATCTCGAAGCTCCCTAGAGTGGATCATGCCGCTTGCAATACTGACGATGGCCCGGGAAAGATTCTTCAAAAGCAAATTGCAAAGAATGGCCTTGCCTTCAGAACAAACAGTCACTAGGTAACATTTCTGTGTTAATAACATGTACGCTCATTCGTGCCAACTCGGACATATCTGCATAACTTTATGTTTACTTTCCGAAGCTGAACCAAAGCAGAAGTGTGAACAAGGAGGGTTGCAACAACTTCAGATTGCAAACCATTTTGGAAGTCACTACAAAGTGCACCCCTGTAGGCATACTGGATGTGTATCTACACAAAAGACAACGTCCCACTTTGACCTGTCTTTTTGCTTTTCTATTAGTCCAACCCCAAGCACACTAACAAGCAAAATTTGGAAACAAAATGGCCTCATGTGACCCTGTGTCACAATCCTATACACATGTCCGATACACAACTCTGGATTGGAGAATGGAAAACCAAGGAAGATGACTGGTCTAATTCTATGAATACCACCGACTTTGAAAACTGTATTTTCTACATTTTTAAAAACTTTTTACTAAACTGAAAGCCCTTTGCTATCTACATATAAAGCTCCATTGAGAAGATTCCCTAACAGTAAGTGTGCTGTTTGCTTCCATTGCGGGGAACTTTCCTCTACACTTTTGGAGTTGTAAAAGCTACAGCCATAAAAATCCAGTACTGTTACTTTCTGCTAAGGGAGCATTCTGTGCCAAAATGTATTGTAAAGACTGTTCAGAAGTGATTCCCTTGATGCCTCCCTGTTGCATCCCACATTGAAAGAGAGCACAAAAGTATGAAGTTGAAGTATTTACACCACTGATATTAGCCATATTGCATTTGCTGCCTTGTCTGTCAACTATGCGCAAGTTTGAGCCACGACCATTTGTTGACACCTGTTCAGTTTTACCAGGTAACCTGTCCACAAAACATATCCTGGGTACCAGGCAAAATCGACAAATGGTCGACAAATAGCTGACACTCAAACTTAACCTGCATTTGAAAGGTGCTTCAACAGAGTTGAATGCTAGAGTTTGGTCAAGTTCTGTTTTGCCTAGACTCACCTTAAAATTAGATTCAATGTCTGCATGTGCCTTCTCTGTTATCTTGCCCTTCAGAGCAGCAGAAATTAACCTATAAATTAGAATTTATTTAAATTATTAAAAATTTAACTTAGCATTTAGAAATACATTACAGCATCTTAAAAACAGTGCTTATATTTAACATTTTGACGGCTATACAGGGAAAAAGTAGCGTCTTGGTTTTAGAATTATTTTTAAAATGTTTGGCTATGATGAAAGCACAAATTTGAGATTTGTTGACGAGAGATTCTTGGTCACCTGAAAATGTACACAAATGCAAAATTTTAAATGTATACATGTACATATGCACACAGCACGCCCAGTGAAATATGTCTTTCTACTGCAGTGGACACTTCATCCGGCACTCCAGTATTCACAGTGCTAAGAACGCACTTTACTTGTTACCACGTTGTGGGGACTATGCACCTGTTGAAATGCAGACATTGTGGGGACCTAACATGTAATGGTCCCCTTAATGCAGTGAAACGCTTGGCATGCTGACTTACGGGCACCCTACAGGTATACAAACATGCACGGCAAGGGGGGGGGCTCTTAAAAAAGCCTATTTCTATAGCTCTGTGAATATGCTAATGCCAAACATATTTCATCTTGGGCAAATTTTGCAGGGCATTAACAACGCAAACAGTCAAGAGGTCCATTATCACTCTGGGTGCGTGTACATGCAGTTGCTCACAAATACGGAGCTAGGAACACAGAAATGGCAACAATTCACTCTGACATGGAGGGCCTGTTTAGATGACTAGACAATAACTGTCTTTTTAAACCACAGCCAATCTGATGCATTGAGAGGTTAAAAATGTCAGCAACAGCTATGAATACACAAGATAATTACACATAATCATACGTGTGCAGAAACGAGCACTCCGCCTAATCCGCTCCGAGTAGAACAAAAGAGGGCATGTCTTTTTGGTACTCAGCGCATAGGCGCGCCATGAGGTGCGTTTATGCGCATTTGACACGGAGCATGCTGAGGCTGTGTAATTAATTTTTTCCAGCTTGTATGGTCTTTGTGTACATGCAGCACGCGTGCAAGAACCCGCTTGTAACCACCAGTCTTTCTTTTGCCGATTGGGGGTGCACTTCACCTAGGGCGGATAGCTTATCCTAATATGTTACCCTATGCCGATCTGCTGAATAATTACAATGTCCCGACTCTAGCTGCTAGACACAATCTACTAATTATGCAATCTGGGAAGTCTTTCGTAGAATCTGAAAGACATTGTTCGTTTCTGCCCCCAACTCGTCTAAATATTTCTGGTCACACTCTTAGGCAACCTTTACTGCTCGATATTCCCCGTTGAAGGACTCGCGATATAAGCAATCTCTGATACCATTCATGGCTACGCTACTGAATGCTGGTAGTTGTCTAAAATTTTCGTGTTTTTAATTTGGTGATTTGTTTACCTTTCCAATATTTAATCTATTATAATTTTCAGTCCGTCTTACATATATTCTTATAATACTCCCTTGGGGGGCCTGTAATCTTTATTTTACAACACTTTATTCTTTTGTATTGTAAATCAGACATTGTTAGTCTTTGGACTTGTTTGTTCAGTTTTTAAAATAAACCGTAATGAATACACTCCCTGTGAAACCAGCTGTCATGTACCCTTTGTGCTGGTCGCTGGCGTCTTTGTCGCTGATGAGGATCTTCAACTCTCTCAGGTCCTGCAGGAACTCACGGTCAAAATCGGCGTCCAAGTCCTCCTTCCGAGAATCTGTACAACAAACAAGCAGGGAATTAAAAATGAGCACTTGAAGGACGCTAAAACATTCCACCAAGATTTATTCTGGTCCGAGGAAAATCAACATCAGCTTTACTTACAACTAAAACATGGGAATGGCAGTTAGAAAACACAGGCGCAGATTAAAAGTATTTCACTTTATTTCAGGGGGGGCGGGGAGGGGGTCAACTGCAACTTTCAATCTTCCTAGGTTTTATTTTTCGCATGACTAATCCAAGAAGACATCATTAACTAGGGATCAACCGATGTAGGTTTTAACTGCCGATCCGATGTCCGATGTTTTAATAGGAACAATGGCCGATGTCCGATTTGATCCGATGTTTTTACTGACAATAACTGAAACGTAACCTTAACAGGATGTAGGCCTACTGACAACACAAAACCAGTGTACTCCTTTAAAATGTCAGTTTATACATTACTGGTAATAGGATTAGTTTTTGCCTTCACAGTCACTGTTGAGGGAATAAATCGTTTAAACTCTGTACATCGATCGCTGCTATGCACGACACCTATGTAACCGATCACACAAACTCAAGCGGTGCTTACTGGTACATGTACACCCAGAATAGACACAGCACTTCAGGTTGAATCATGGTAGCCTTTAGTCAAGGCACACATGGCACCGCTGCACCACTGCATTGGTGTCTTCATCGTGCATGCCAATGGCAGAGGTGCACATTATGTGTTCAGATAGCCACACATGCCTTGAATAAAGGCTAAATTGCGGGCTACCTTCAGACCGGTCACACAGCACCTCATGTGTGGTGCCACACACGGTGTAGTTCCCAAGCTGTTTTAATGGCTGTCAATGGAAACGGTACACAAGTACACTGACTGCTCCATTGGGCCACGTTCCATTGAGTTGTTGCAGCATAGATCGCGCAGGTGTAATTTTTGGGGATGCTTTACGTGGGTTTAACCATGGTATATCCGTTCATTTATCAAACCAAATGAAAAAAACACAGTTTGTATTCTTCCTTAAATAAAAAATATGAGATTTTTGTTTGCCAAAACTGAGTGCAGAGTTTGTTCCTTTCTTCAAGTTATCATCGGCACTCATATCGGCAAGGAAGGTCAAATTTTGCTGATCCGATGTTTTGTCGATGTTGCCAAACATCAGCCCGATCTGATGTCCAATCCGATCATTGGTTGATTCCTATCATTAACCCTGCAGGTAAGAGTCCTAAATCCTACAACCAATGGAGGATTGAGGACTATAAGGTTGCTGGTGACACCACCACTCATTTTGGCAAGTTAAAACATCCTCTCCATTCCAACTTGAGGTACCTCCCACTAGCAATGAAGAGACGGGCTGGTGGGTAGTATTCCAACTGAGTATGACCTTGTGCGTACACAAGGCAAGTTCCTATTGTTGCCTTACCAAAGCACGCCATCTCTTGTTCCCTTATAGAGCCAACTGGGTTCCCTTATGGAGCCAACTGGGTGGAGGGGCATTCAATATACATATAAATATAACCTGTGGGTGAGACAGGTGCCACCGAAGTAAAGACTTCTCCAACTCCACCTGCCAGATTACGCTTTGCTTGCAAGTGCCCAGTGTACTTACCGTTAGATCCGGCCGTCCATTTGATGATCATCTCATCTGCGCAGAATGCAAAATCAGAGAAGGTCAGGTACTGCAAGCGTTTCTTGCCGGTCTCAAACCGATTGTTGGCAAAGAAGACGACGGCTGCATACTTCCTGCAGGACAGAAAATCCGAGAGATTTTCTTATTTAACTGGGGAAAACAAAACACAGTAACTTGGTCAAAGAAAGGCACACGTGCTCAAACAAGCTGGCGAGGCAAAAGTCTGACACAAGTTACCCTATGGGGTACTTCCCATTGTTCCGGTACCCCACAAGCCCCTCTATACACGAGCAAAGATACATGTACATATATACCAGTGTGGTACCTGAATGGGTGAATTTAACTAGGGATAGCTGAGTAACGAGTTCATTAGGATGAAAGATTTTTTTTATAAAGTACATAATATCTGTGGCACAAATAATACAAGGGCTCACAGAATAGTTAAAATAAGTTAGCTGTGCGATGTGGTTTTGGCATTGTCCAATACCAGACACTATGATAGAACACCATGCCCACATAAGCGTGTATTACACAAACTATGCATGATATACTTTGTGCATTAGAACTCGGCTCAGATCTGAACAATCAGAGATTTCCACTCTTCATGATTTCTTTTCATCACAGGAAAAGATCTGGACTCGAAGAACCTACTTGGCAAGTTGTTCTGAAAAGCAGAAGTTGGCCTGAATGTTCTTGACCATGGGCCCTTCCATGTCCTCCACAGCCTTGAATACCCTCTTGAAGTTGTCATACTGCAGACCGAGAAAAGAAAATAATGGTGCTCCACAAAACTGCTCATCTCTTGTGCCCTACTCCTACCTACATGTACACTTGAATTTCATCTGTACACAATGACACATTTTCATATTGCAATAATCATCACAGGTCACAACAGGTTACCAAGCCTTGCAGTCCAATGAAAGCATCTGGCATGCAGCACTTAACTTACAAGTCAAACATCCCTGCCACACTCTACAGCGGGCCTACAGGTAAGCACAAGGCAATGCTTGTTTAGTATTCAGACCAACGCAGCCACACCAGCAGCGTAGCTAGGATTTTACTGGGAGGGGGGGTACAAGGGGGCACCAGTATCCTATGGGGGGCACCAGTATCCTATGGGGGGCACCAGCATCCTATGGGGGGCNGCACCAGCATCCAATGGGAGGGCACCAGCATCCTATGGGGGGCACCATCATCCTATGGGGGGCACCAGCATCCTATGGGGGGCACCAGCATCCTATGGGGGGCACCATCATCCTATGGGGGGCACCAGCATCCAATGGGGGGGCACCAGCATCCTATGGGGGGGCACCGACTTTCAGTGGTGCGTTTTTTTGGGGCAAGTTTTTGTTAGCCTTGTTCAATCTCCATTCATCCGTTTTTTTTGTGAGGGGACACCTAGGGGGCATCAGGAATTTGTGGGGAGGCACATACCCCCAGCTCCCCCCCTTCCACTGAGCCACAAGGCCTACCTGTCGCCTGCAGCTTTTCAGGGATACTTTGGTCTTCTCGCTGATTTCGTCTAAATCCTTACGGTGTTTGCTGGACAGTTTTTTGCCAAGTATCTCACGGGCTACAATGGAATCGAGCTCATAATATCTGAGATATAGATTAAAGAAAGAATCAACGTGTTACTTTCTTTTCCATGAAAATGCACTGACCACTTTCTTTCCAATGAAAGTTATCTGACACAATACTACAGAGAGGGTCACCTACGGCAAGGGAAGAGAAAAACAAGCCTAACTTAAAGAGTTGTTAGATAAAATGTCAGTTATTACACAGCATTTGAAAACACAACAATGCTATTGCTGAATTACTCTTGTGCAAGTCAGTCACGTAGTGAAATCACTACACCTGAAACATTGTCATGTTAACAAAAAACAAAGGAACTTCGTTCTCACAGGTAATCGTCCAATAAATCATTACAAAAACACTTGGTGCACAACATACGCGAGTACTCTAGGGTACCATCCTGTGATTTTTCTTGCGCATGCGCTGGAAAAACACACTCAAGGACGATCTGTGGTCCCTGGCTTTTTTGCAAGACAAATTTAGCAAGCAGCACTTTGACCGTTGGAAACAAACACAGGTCTTCCAGCATGAAACAAATCAGTGGAATAATAAATGCCACAGATGGCAAGCCCCAAATCCAGTGGGGTACAAATTACTACCGATACGAGGGGCATTCCCCCCCCCCGCAGAAGTCTGCGCCCCTGCAAGTCCCCTCCTTGAAATTTCAAAATGCACGTATGTAAATGCCTGTACATCCGTACACTGTAACAGTACAGAGTACACTGTACTACAAATTTGTGACACCCAGGGGTAACCCCGTCTCCCCTTCCCCTAGTGCCCCCTCAAAACTTTCACCCTCGTTCTGCCGTTGCCCACAACTGTCCCGTTCATAAAAATCACAGCAGAGACAAATGGTATACGACGTATTTCAGCTTTACACTTGCACTGGCATAAAAAGTCTTCTAAAATACTCAAGTTCCGACAGGGTTACCATTAAAAGTAAAAATCCCCGTGAGAAACTTGAACACATTACTTTTCAATCAGCATCTGCTGCATATCTGGAGGAATCTGGAACAGTGGTTGGTAGGACAGCGTCAGGGGATTGCGTAAGTGCTTCTCCATAGCCCTGAACATCCGGTAGTTGTCTGTGGTGTCGCTCTTCAGAAGTTCAAATTTCAGTCCCGTGGTCTGAGACGAGAGCGTCTTGTATCGGATGGATGCAGCTTCAAATGCTAGTTGACACAAATAATTGAAGGTTAAGAAACAGATTTACTTTCGTTGTTTTGCCCAAACCTCTGGACAAACGTGGAGGAAAAATGTAGGGCTGAGCCGAAAATCCGAAAATTCGAATATTATTTTCCAAATTTGAACATTCAAATGCAAAATTCATGAAAAGGGAGAATATACTTATTTTAAATGAGAAAAATTGCACAAGCCAATTCAAATGAAAAGCAACAGAAATCTTATGATTCAAAAGTAAATTATTCATTAAAAAATTTACAAGCAACAGTAATTTTCAACAGGGCAAAAAGTATTGTTTGTCTCTTAAATGGTGCTAAATCGTGGCTGGAGATACTCCAAGAGAAGCAATCATAGTGATTACAATGTACAATTGTGCGCATCATTGCAACTGATTTCATATATGGTTTAATCATTAACCCTAACAGTCGTCAATCCTTCACCTGTTGGAGGATTGAGGACTGTTAGGTTTAACAATCTAATATTGGTAAGACCGCATATTCGGATATTCAATTGAATTGAAGGTCAAATATTCGAATAGTGAGTTACTCAGCCATAGAAAAATGATGTATATCACCACTGGTCTGACATTTCTGAGTAAACTAGGACACTACAAATTGCCTCTTTTAACATCTGGACATGGTCACCCAACAGTTGCCCAACTATGTCCAAATGTTAAAAGATGTGATTCACAAGGTCCTACTGACTCCTGTTTACATGTGCGTTACATCATCATGACACTGGAACTTGAACAACTCGATTGTCTGCCAACTCGACTCAGGACAACTCGACCGATGGGACACCTCAGCCATCTATGCCTTAAATGAACAGGCAGCTCAACCATTGAGACAAATAATCGATTGAGACAGGTTGACTCGTATTGGATGCACTTGCGCTTTCCAGTCACATCAGCCACACTGCGTATGCCACATCATCGTTGCAGCCATGCACTGTGCTGGTTGGGGCAGCCATGCATGTCATCACATGTGGGGTTCTGAAAAGACACGGTGGTAACACTGAGTACCACCAATTCTTTTCAGAACCCCACATGCTCAAAGGGAGATATATCCATGGTGCGTCCGCAAACCTATTTAGTTTACTACATGGATGATGTAAGCCAGATGTTAGGCCTATCTAATTCAGAATTTTCTCAAGCTAAATTTCACTTTTCCAGTTCTGGGATGTCATGTTACTGCCTATCACTTTCTGACGACTGTCATGGCTGTAACATTTTAAGGGGATAGGCCTAATGGCCTAACTGGTGTTGTCTGTCATGTCCGTACATGTATATGGAACTCTTTCAACCCCAAACTCCATCATCATGTTCACGCCTGGACGATCGAGTTGTCTTCATGGAAAAAATGTTGCATACTGACTCCACTTTTCTCATCATGTATCATCTCAATAAAAGTCAGTCATTACAGAAATGCTGGAAAGACACAAATTCTGGACTGAGAAACATTTACATGTACCGATGATTTTGGGAAATACGTCGAAGTGAAAATTCTCTTCACTCCCCATAGACATTGTACACAACTGCTGAAGTGGAGTCAGGATGCAACATTTTTCCGTCTCAATTAATTAACGGACGACATTGTAAACGGTGGACATGGTGGAGTTGTCCCACGGGTCCAGTTTTCTCAACAGTCAAGTTCTCCTGAGTCGTCTCACACCCATGACACACGGACTTTAAATTTGCAGACAGCAAATGTCTGTCCACAATGAACTTACACGAATGCCCTTCAAGCCATAGTTTATAAACCTCGGGATCTATAAAAGTTGTATTTCCAACAAAAATGTTGACAGATATTTCAGTCATCTTTCTATTACAGTGGGTAGGCTAGACCCAGAACGCTTTCCTAGATCCTGGCTACGTCGGAAAATCAGTCATCAGTAAGTGCGCGTCTGTATACAGGGCGCCGCCATGACGGTGTCATTTAAATGAAATTCCAAAGTTTGGCTTCGTTTCCAATGCGGCTTCAAGTGATTTCTTCATCCAACCTGATTCAACTTGGAAGTTTTAACTCATGTTGTGCCAGATAATTATCAAAATATATCTTTTGGATCCAAATAAAGAAGCATATTAATTTATTTCGAGCAAAGTGGCTTTGATTTGAATTTCCTAAAAAAATTTCAATGAAACGTAGCCGAAATTTGAAAGTACGTGACGAACATACAGGTGGAGAATCGCTGAAAGAGGGCGCTCTACTGTTTTGAAAAGCTGCGAACATTGACCTTATGATTATAAAAATAGTGGAGATCAATGGCTGTAAAGCATACATATATTTTGGTCATCTGTTACCGTGGCCATGGTGCTTCCTCCTATCTTGACCTCGTTTTTTATGTCTGATTTGATACCTACTGATTCAATGCAGCCATGTGCGTGGGCAGGAGGGGGCGGGGCTCTTTCTGGGGAAGCATTAATAGCAAATTTGCTATAAACGGTGAGGGGGTGCATCCCATATTTCCTCTTCTTTCTCTCCTTAAATACACATACTTCATTCTTTCAGAAGGAAGCAAGCGCTCCACCCCCGTAGATGATACTATATTTACCTGATGGATGTCTCGCATCACGTGGTATATTTTCGGCAATGCGGTATAAGCTATGGTGTTTAAATCATAAGTCCTTTTGGCTATTGCTAAATCCCACCACTAGTTTGGAATATTATAGATGAATACTATAAAAAAACCTCAAAAACGTGCCTCAATTAAAAGTTCACTTTCTGTTCTTTAGTTTCCAGCACATTGAACACATTTTCAGAATTTGGCCCAAAACAATCATTCTGTTACCCTTTTCAAGTTGCTGGCCAAAAAGGATCCGCAACTGTCCAACACTTGCCAATCAAATCCCTAAATGTGATTCGATTAACCCCACCACCCTCAAATCCAAATTCTCTGTCCTTTCCTGTCCTGTCCTGTCCTGTCCTCTCCTCTCCTGTCCTCTCCTGTCCTCTCCTGTCCTCTTTTCTCCTGTCCTCTCCTCTCCTGTCCTGTCCTCTCCTGTCCTGTCCTCTCCTGTCCTGTCCTGTCCTCTCCTCTCCTGTCCTGTCCTGTCCTCTCCTCTCCTGTCCTGTGGTGTCCTGTCCTCTCCTGTCCTGTCCTGTCCTCTCCTTTCCTTTCCTTTCATCTCCTCTCTTCTCCTTTCCTCTCCTTTCCTTCCCTTTTTCTTCCCTTTTTGATTGAGTAACTGAACGTAGTTATTCAAGTAAGAAGAAAATTTCCTGTCATGAAAAGATTATCGGTATTGTGATTTGTGTTGTTTCTCCTCTACTTACTTTATTATAAACACAATCTTTCATTATGGGTAGGCTTATTATTCCTGATTCCATGAAAATATTATTACTAAATTGTATTTTAAGAAAGGAAATACCTGTTGATAGATGAATTCGTATTTTAAAATTCTGGAGCGTACTGTCTAATTTTAATTACTTATTTTTATAAATACATATTAACGCATTACCTTTGAGTGGCTCAGGTGTCATAACTACAAATGATTTGTGTATTTCAAAGCGGCTTTAGACGACGTCAAATGGTTCAAGCGTACTCAGAAGGCCATCTGTGATCGAGCCAATGAGGAGGTGAAGTAGGTGACTTGTCCGAAGTGTATGTTGAATCGTGTAAACTGGGAATTAACAAACCCACACATCACAAGCCTTCCGACACCAATGATGTATATTTCTCTCTGGAGAAATGAGTTTCTACCTTGGAGGACCAACTTGGCTCCATTCAGCGCTCGGTACAACAACCAACAAAGGCCGTTCGAAGTCTTAATTGGTCCCCGTGATAGACCATGTACGTTCACCGGGACCCAACACTTCCAAGAACCCTTGCTATAACTGGGTCATTTCAGGTGGGATCGCGCCCAGGTGTATACTCTGAGAAGACAGTTGAATTACCATCCTTAGGAATAACGTCAAGAACAGTTAAATCATCAACACACTTCCAGCGATTGGGTATATTACAAGCTAAATCGTTAACCACGGCAAGAAACAAAATAGGGCCCAACTTTGTTCCCTGTGGAACTTCAAGAGTAAGGTCCATCATGCTTGTTAAACATTATTAAAACGGACAACTTGTTTACGATTCTCAAAAAACTGCATACTGTAGGCAAGATGGCTCGATCAACATTCAGATGAACCAATTTCTCAATAACAATAGCGTGATTAATTCGGTCAAAAGCTTTACTGAAGTCTACGGTAAACATATTAACATAATTCCCCAATTTATCTAGACCCTGGTGAATTGTATCCAGTATACTTATCAAGTTGCTCTATAGAACAACCCTTCATACTTCCAAATTGTAGTAAATCAATCCACTTCTTGAAATCACCCATCACCCATTCAGATAGAAAACCTTCAAAAAGTCTTGCCAAAATAGGAGTAACTGAAATTGGGCGTAACTGATCAAAATTAATAACCGGAGTAGTTTTTGGAATTGCACAAACAGATGCTCATTTCCAAATTTCAAGGAAACAGCCAGCTTCCAAACAAGCATTAAAATGTGAGTTAATGGAAATGATATTTCAAAAGCAAATTCCTTTAAAAGCTTAACTGGACAAATTCCAGGGTAACCAGCTTTTGATAGGTTCCATTTACGAAGCCGCTTGTAAACTTGTTGATGGGTTACCCGTGAAGGCAAAGAAACAGCTGGTAAGTATTGGAGTCGAAGAATTTAAATCAAGGGGCGGCAAACTTGAACAAATCCAAGAAAAATGTACACTGAGGTCATTTGCTATTTCACCGGAAGATTTATTAACATTGGGCAATTCAAAAGACCTCTTATGATTGCCTATTAGAAGCTGAATTTAAGTATGCCACTGACCAATATCAGATTTCTTCAAATACCTAACCCTTTAACGGTAGCAACTTATTACAAACTGTGAGTTGTTTCTGGAAATTAAACAAATATTTCCATTTCTAAATAAAATTTAACTTTTGTAATACTATTTCTGATTCACTATAACTGTTCTATACATTTAAGTCACACATTGCTCTGATTGTTCTGATTTTCAAGGCAGAACCAAACTCAAATCATGGCATTTTGGTAATCTGTCTGACAGCTCATTTGACAGAGATCTTTTCTCAGTCACTGCGAACACTGGAATGTAAGGAAACAAGGAAAGAATCCAGCCAAATTACTATGCACTGAGGCTGCGTCAATTAAGCGTATTTTTTGAAAACCAGATTCCGAAAACCCTGCACGTAAATCAAAGGGGTGGGGTGGTATTTATAACACCTCGCTCTCAGGTTCGGTATCTTGATTGGTAGGAGAGCGCCTGACTAGACTTTTCTGTTTTGACAATTTTTGAACCAGCTCTCAAAAAAAAGACTATCATGTAGTCTGGTTGGGGAAGATGTGGGAACTGAACCTAACCGTGGCAACGACACCTTGAAAGCATTCCGTTTACCAAAAGAGAATGCTCAACGGAACTACATTGGCAGCCAGTCCCGGCATACGATGCACGATACGCGGCAAAGGGGACGCCTCCTTCATTGTGTCTTCTTCTGTGTTGGTGCAATCTTTGGAATTCTTTCAGGTTTCCGAGGGGGGTGCAGTAGGCCTTAGGATAAAGCTTGTGCATCACATGGGGGGTCCCCCTTTACCGCACATCGCGAAGGGTATCAGTCCGCGAGGATGGGCTACTGGCTCATACCCCCACCCAAAAAATTGGAAAATGAAAAAAAGTACAGTGGCTATACAACATTATCTCGGTGATAATATTGGATATCGGGCAGGAAATAATGCTGCCATATGTGTAGGCCCCTACTGACACAAAACATGCAATTTTTGACAAACAGCTCCCCGTTATTATTTCTTGACATGTGTCTAGCTCCCTATCCCACGACGTGACGTGTGACTGACTCATTTATTGTCGTTGGGGGACTTGCGCAGTGGCGTTTTGATGAAAACAAAGTGCTTAATGCAGGCCGTCACCACTGAAGACAGCCACTATTAGATCCTGACTTACAGTACCCACATAAAAATCCATTAAGAGTGTTACATTTAAAACATTCCGAACCGATGAAATCAAGAGTCAAATAAAAAATAATAAATAAAAGGACAACTGTACACGCAGCAAATCGTCATCAAAAAGTTCTTTTGACATATTTCATTTGAAAATCTTACGTCTGAAAAGGCCTAATTTACACGTGATAAAATATGGTCAAACTCATTAGTCGAGTTGTCTAGAGCGAAATTCTCTATTCCCTAAGCGTTAAGTAGTTTCTGCATCTTCCTTTGGGTTTCAGAGTGATCTCGTCCAGTATTCCGTATCCTTGGCCCGGAACAAGTTTAAAGTTGAACTTGTGCAGCAATTTGGCGAGCAGAACACGGGCCTCGATCTTGGAAAAAAAAGGAAGATGGAGGTTTTGGTCAGTACAAAGCTTGTAACAAAGATGGTACCGGCAATTCCACGCAAAAGTGGAAATTCAGCCACGCTATTGCTGCTTTCAATATCACTTATAATTCAGAAAAAGACCTCTTATTTGGTTAAAAACTGCCTACGATCATAAGGTCATAATTTTCCACGTTTGAATGGAATTGCCCTTACATTATCAATAACTTCTTTTCAGACTCAGTAGACGCATAATGAGTCTACACTCAGTAAATCCTCAATGGAAGACACTTGGAATGCTTGGTGGCGGCAAATACACCAGTACCACGTGATCAATAATTGTGTTCGCTGTGTGGAGTATGCACTGGAAATCTGCCTAGAAACACGGTATTTGCTCATAGTAGACTACACCAAGCCACGCTTAAATTCATGAATGTGTGTGTTTTTGTTCATCATGCCATGGAATTAAGATCTCTAACTGCAAATCAATACCTGCAACATCTCAACAAACATGCGCACACTTACCAAAGCAAACTGCTGACCAATGCAGTTACGACTACCGAGTGAGAACGGAAAGTACGCATACTGTGGTCTGTCAGAGAGATACAAGTGCAGTGTCAATTAATAAGTAATGAAAAAGAAACAATTACTGGTTGATAATCAACGCCGTGCAGTGGCGTATAGGACCGGGGGACCGGGGCTCATACATTATTCACAGATTTCAAATGCAGGGGAGGGGAGCAGGTGCATGGCCATACGCTGGAGGGGGACACATGCCACATGTGCCCCCCCCCAGTTACGCCACAGATTAACACACGAGATCAAGGCGGGAAAGATTTATTTACCTACCATCGAAAGACTACCAACTCAAGCGACAAGTCAGCCTACCAAGAAGCACTCTGTAATAAGGACGATATATACATGCACTTCCTGGGAATGTCCAGCTTTCTTAGCAATGCCACAGGTTTGGACAAAACATCAGTGGATATAGTGCCGCTGTTGCCTGACGCGTGTGAGAAAACTGCATTTGCATCTTAAAGGAAAAGCAATCCATAGATTAAACTAACTTGTCATCACTGGCTTTGAAGCGGTCGGGATCAAACTGTAACGGATCATGGAAAAACTCCTCCATCCTTGCCATCGCGTAAGTATTCGGCTTGAGGTAGAATAATCAGACAGAAACATTTGTTTCAGGAAGGACAGACTATGAAACAAATACGTTTCGAAAAACGTTTTACGCTACTACTTCAACTAGAACACTGCCCATCAAATAAATTTTGAAGTAATTCATTTTTTAATTTGAAAAAATAATTTAGCTTGACAGATTCACAATTTCGAAAATGTGGAAATCTATCAGGAGGCTTTCATTTTCGTGTCATCAATCTCTGTGACACAATGGAATTCTGGAAGTTATAAACGACCAACGTAATTTTAACAAAACGTACAAACACCAGTGATCCCTTAGGAAGCTTATAACCTTTGACCGTGACGTCACAAGCCAATTGTCTACTCGTTCCAGCCACTGGAGGCCACAGACGAAGCGATTCTTTGAAAACCTTAAACAGGAAGCGAAAGTAATGAATTCATGAAACCAATATCCTTCATTTAAAATGTCACAGACGGATGTTATCAGACTAAGCACTTTCATTCTGTTCAGATTTAAACGAACACAAAGTTGGGACATTACAATGTGTACAGCCCAGAGAACGTACGTGAAGACGCAAGTAAGAAAACCTTACCGCAGCCTATGCCAACACATAACTTGTCACTCCAAGGCCATCGATCGGTCTAAAACCCTTCGGCAAACTGAAATTTAGAAACACTTTTGCAAGGCAAATTGTCGAAAGATACTTGACGAAAGCAATCCATTTCAGATACCTTTTTTTATTCGGTCGTAAAAAAACTCGACCATTACTATTCACATGGAATGACCTTTGTGAAAGAAACACGCGGCTGTACCATAAGATTTAAGAACAAGATCCTACAGCCTAAAACTCTTCGCCTTTTGCACGTTATGTTTCACTGAGATACATTATAGAAATTAAAAGGCGCATTGGATAAAAAATAATTGGATAAAAAATAATAATCCACACAATCACCTTAAGTGGTCTAGATTCTGAAAAGGTCTCACCTGTATCATATAGGTGAATTTACCTATGTCAGCGTACTCAAGAAATTCCTTGTCTCCATAAACTGCATCAATCTCTGTTTTCAGTCTACAGCCAAAAGTCGGATATATGTGGGTGTTAGTAGAATATAAAAGAGGAGACCAACGTAAGCTTAAGCCACATGGTATCCCACCTGCTTTGATGTCGTTTGAATAAAATTTGCGCATCATTAAGGCTATATTGAGTAACGGTGGACTGAAGCTGTAAAAGATTAATTTTGAAAGACAAAGGCTTTTCGATAGTTACCTTATCGAAGTAAGAATTTGAAATTTGTCTTTTTAAAATTCCAACCTTCAGATCCAAATTTCCCAAAGTAGGTACATTCTTTTCAGTTTTTCTCATTCACTGTCTTTTGAGGTTCCTGGCTAAACCTCGCAAATTTAGAACATAATAATATGTCAACTGACTTAGCGCTATACGAGTACCTATGCATGACTTCTGGGTGGTGTCCCAGCTCCACCAATGTGAAACTCAGAAGATTGGCAGTTGTCTCTTGACCTGTCCAGGTTAGAGACAGGACCAACGATTAATCTGGCAGTCCAAAAAAAGTCGGCAAAAAATCAGAATACCTGAAGTTATTTCACACTTCTAATTTACGCTAAAAATCATGATTGAAGGACCAAACTTTTCAATTAAAAAGAGGCGCGAAGAAACTTCTCACCAGCAATGAAAAACGTAACAAACTCGTCAATCAGTCCTTCCTCATCAATCGCCTGTTCTCCTTTGAAACAATCGACCTCTTTCAAGATGTGAGTCAGGATGTCATTCGGCACATCTTCTTGTTTCTCAATGGCTCGTAGCCTCTCCTCAATGCACTGACGGCCTGTCTCGCGGAGGAAGTGTAGGCTGTCTCGGACCTCTTTTCGAATTTTACGAGAGGCTGGAAATGGACTAAACTAAGAAACGAAGGAGAAAAAAGAGACGAAAAAAATGACACGGTGTGCCTGTTAAAACACCGGCCTCAAGCAAACTATATCTAATCATGATCCCCAGGGAGAGAGTTAACAATCTACTATCCACCACTATTGAAAGTTTCTCCCCACTGTTTTCATACGATTTCGTAGCCCAGGGACTGACATGCATTCACATACTATCTCCTCGGTTAGTGCACCCAGGGTCTGTAATTGCAATGTAACCCGTTGAAATTTGGCCTTAAGAATGAGATTTTCTACATTACACTGTATTGTTAACATTGCTCTTTTCGATTTCTGACGACCTTAAACCAGTGCAGTTACACAGGGAAGCGGCAAGTCATTTTTGCAAGTCCAAGTCAAGTAACAAGTCAAAGCTGGTATTTACAAGCCAAGTCACAAGTCACAAAAATAGCGACTCGAGTCCAACTCGATTCGAAGTCACATGATTCGAGTCAGCAGCTCTGGTTGTACATCGGTGAATCTAATACGGGACACTCACAAATTTGACCCCTAGCGTGTACACAAATCGGGGGACTGGGGAATGTTAGGGCTACAACGACTGATATCGTGGAAGAGAACGCGAGTTTTCCCTGAACTCATGGGCCGATTACCGTAGTGACACTACTAGCCGCTGCAACCTGAATACTCACCCTTGTCAACGGGAACGTTCTCTCCACATCAGCCCCTTGAAAGCATTTGGACACTGCCTTCTTGAATGGAGAGTTGTCGTCCAGAGTGACATTGAGATCCATCCCAAATGCAACCTGTCACCACATACAGGACATGACATAAGCATAAAAGACAGCAAGTGAATCCGGACAGGATTTTGAAGCAAGACTGACATCTGACTAATCATGACAGGGCCAAGTTTGCTATTTTTTGATTAAATGGAATCATAAACATACTGAAAATTGTCGCATCCAAAAGAAGTAACTCAAAAGCTAAAACACACTCAATGTCAATTTTAAAGTCAGGGAACTCTCTTTTCTGTCGAGACACAACACCATTCTGATCAGCCCCAACTGTATGTGTATGTTCCACAAAAAAAGACAAGATTATGGTGTTTGGAACAATTTGCGAAAGTTTGTTTTGACTTCACCGTACGCTCTTTTAATTTTGATATATTGCATTGTCAATAAACAGTCACAAAATTACTGTAAAGCGCACAAACTTTTTTCTTTAACTGTTTGATCCAACTGATTTATCATTTCAACCAAATGTTCTAATGGGATCTTTGACCATTGTAGAGTTCTTTCTTCAAGAAAACCAATCCACAACCACCCCTCGTACCACCGGTCTTTACCTTCGCAATGATGTCAAGCGTGGTTCCATTTAATTCATCTAGCATTACAACCTCGGTCTTCCCATCAGCCTTGGGGCTCAATTTCTCAATCAGCAAATCTGCACCTGTATTGAACTGTCCCATCAGGCCCTGAAGATACCTAAACGGATTATTTGAAGGAAAAGGTCTTCATTATCAGTGGCTTGGTGGTGCAAATGATTAAGTATTTAGATTTACGACCCAGAGAGTCTGCTCTTGCAAACTATAGACAAATTCAAACATAATTGTATTCACTTCCATTTCTCAAATAACAGATTAGCTCAGTTTTACACCATTTTTGTATACGTCATTTCATGCTTTTATTCCTCTTGAAGTAGCTTTCGGATTTACTGATGAAAATCAGTCAGTACGTTATCGAATTGAAAATAAATAAGCAGTGATGACAACGATGCACAAAAAATCCTGCAAGCACCTTGCAGCGCGACTTATGGATGAAGTTTCACACCACACAACAACAATCACCTTACCTCCTGTGAAAGGCGGGGCTGAAAAGAGCTCGTTTTTGCGCATGCGTCGCAGGGTTGACGTCAGAGACGAGGCCATTTCCAAGAAAACGATTTCCAAGGATCTTCATGAAAATCTTATAGGCCGCGTACGGCTTTGGGTGCGTGTCCGTACACAGGAGTTCCTGTGACCAGAAACCGAGAAATTTCTCAGAGGCACGTCCTGAAAATGGATACCTCAACACAGTTTTAACTGAGCCTTAAAAGTACAGTGGACGGAATACTCTTTATCTCTCCGTCGAGGATTTTCCCCGCCACTTTTAATGGATTTTTAAACTCTTCTGTCTTGCTTAAATTTTGGTGCGATTTTTATAAAATTAAAAGAGTGCCACTTTCGTATTGAAGTATGCCTTAAAATGATAGGATCTCTTATTTTTCACTGCATGATGCATAGTACTTATTGACACACTACATATGATGAAATTGCTCGTAGTGGTTAGTACAAGGCCCAGATTCCTCTTTTGGCTGTGGGGGATAAACCGGCTCTCGAAAGGTTAGAAACAAGCCTTGGAATAAGGAAACTTCTCAGCTCGGTTTGATAAACCCCAAAGATAACCTGATAAATGCAAAATTTTCTAGGGACAAGCCGCTGAGATTCTGCCAACAAGGTCCACATTAGATAGATTTTCTGTAGCACTGTGGATATATCTCTTTTTTGGTATGTGGGGTTCTGGAAAGAACCGGTGGTACTCAACATTTCGGACAGTCCGGACAGAGCATACTGTCCGAAACGTTGAGTACCACCGGTTCTTTCCAGAACACCATGTACTCAAAAAAGAGATAGGCCTATATCCATGGTGCTACCACAAACCTATCTAGTTTACTTGCTACCTCCACCATGAAAAGCTTTAAATCTCATCCAAGGTCCACATAATCACGCACGATGAAAAGATTTGTACCAATGAAAACGGCATCTTCTATGTGCGACAGCTTCAATGAACATACAGGGGCCAAGTTCTTTGGTAGAAACATTAATTTTCAGGATTAACTGTAGTGATGTAATGGGGAAAATCCGAGAAAATAAACAGGAATAGCCTGAATCCCAACCTGCTTGGATTAAAATGAAATAAGTTTTGTAATGGCGGGGGGGGGCACGCGGTGTGGCCACACCGCGTAATCCTCCCCAAAATAATCAGAATGGATATTAAAACAAATCGAGCCATCGAGCTGTGAAAAAAAAGTACCTTGACGAAATCGGGGTCGAGCACAAAAATGACTGGAGTGAAGAAGAAAAAGACAGTAAACACAGGTCCACATTGGCGCATCCTGCAGAAAGAGAGAAAAATCGATATTTCAAGAATATTTTAGTAGCCTGTGGAAATCCACCTCATAATCACGTCTTTTTCGTGGTATAATATCATTCAAGGTCAACTGCAAAGAAGAATGTTACATGTATGTTCCCTCCAACAACGCTGCATATCGCAAGACTTCGATTTCACTAGCCTTCTACATCTCCGAAATGATATCGGCGGTCCCTCCTGGCAGACTCATCCGTCCGTGTGTCCCTTCAGCTCCTCAAATCGTGGACTCACCGTTGTATTTGATTGCTCTCTCAACAGTGATACAAATCACTATTCTTACATTTTTTTGTAGTGACAAGGAAGCTACGACTTGCGGAAGCCCATTAAATGCCAGGTACCATTTCGTAATAACGCAAAACGTTTGCAAAATAAAGATATTATACCTTAAACAAATGGGCTTGTGTAATTATTCGAGTGTATACAGACAATAAGCTGTTGACTTTCGCTTAAACCCTCTCGGCCACTGACACTAAGATGCACGCAGCACTCGCGTGCGGATGTAGGTTTACCAACGCCAATCGTGCATACCTGTTCCCCGATCGAATTTTTGCTTGATATTTTTCCATGGCTTAAACTTCTTGCTGTTTGGTAAAAGTGATCGTCCCGTTGAGGCATCAACTTCAAGGCCAGCGCAGGCAAGTAATCACACGCCATTAGAAATGATCGGAGCTTTATATCAATTTTGAGGGGTGTTCATGAGCAAAGGTCAATTGCCCTTTTCGCCAATAGGGAACTTGGCCGTCAGAGTTTCAGTGAAACAGGTCAACGCAAACAACTTACATGTCAACGACGGCATCGGAGAAGGACAAACTCTTCCGCTGGTATTCTATCATCAGTGAAGCATGGCCGAAAAGAAACCTATATGGCACGGATACAATGTATTTTTCTGAACAATAGCATGACCAGCGCACTATGCAACGCTACCCCTGCTGATATTCCTAGCGGGTTGACATTTCCTTCAGAAAATTGTCAGTGGGGTGTCATATTTATAAGTTTCTTGCCACAGTTTCTAACTATACACCTTTTCCACTCCCAACTATTACACACAGTCTATGGACTGGATGAGGTCACTAGTGCACGTCTATCCGCCCCGGCGGACTGTGCGTGACCAGAAGAGGGTCTAATATTTCTCCAGGCCGAAGGCAAAGGGAAATAGGACCGCCTTCTGGTCACTCACAGGTCCGAGGGGGGAATGGTCATGCACCAGTGACCTCATTGCAGTGGCGTCAATCTGTGCTGCGAACTGAGGGGGTGGGGTTGGGGCATTGCGCGGGGGGGACTTTCCTGGCCATAGAAATTTAAAAGGGGGGGGGGTTGGAGACTGACACCATATGACACTAGGTTCAGTGTTCATTGTAGAGATCTGTAAGTTGTTATACTCTCCTGCCGAACTCACGTGGAGTCCGAAAAAATCTTCACAATCCTCCTCAATGTTTTTCTCACCACCAAAAAGTGGGGAAGGTGAATGATTAAATAGCCCATCCCCACCAGCTTGCTTGGGTGATATATACCCGCATCCCCCGGGATTTACGCTCATGCCTCATTGCCAGTCAATGTAAGTGTAATAAAGGACTTCCAGATAGGAAATCTGAAAATCTTCATGACCTTTTCTTGCCTAAGGGATAAGGCTACATGTTTGAAAAGCTTGGAATTCGCTCGTCGAAGAAATACAACCATAGTCTCAGGCTCGTGTTCCACTGTTTGCACTCACCCTTTCAGTCCTTTCCTAGGTGCAGTGGGAATGTGCGCGTACTTGCAATGCTGGTAATACACGTAGAAGACAAATACTGCGAACAGAAGACCTACACAGACGAGCAAGATAAGCATCAATCCCAACAGACACGTTGCTAGTGTAACAGCAGCCATTTTGGGTGGTGAGTCGATAGATTATTGTTTGACTGCACTACACAGCGTCGACCTACTTTAGTACGCACGACCTCGACCGGCCTTTAGAAAAAGGACAAAAAAAATTTCACAAGAGTGGGAAGGTCAAAGCTCGAACAGAACAGTGCTTTCCGATGCACGCGTCTGTGTCTGTACTGACAATCAAATTTTACATTAAATTTATTCCGCACGAAATTTAATGCGGCCCTAATTTATTAAAACTTTTCGTCAGAAAGGAGATGGGTAAAAAAGCAACAGTCTTAACTGACCTGGCACGAGTCGACCTTATTGAAAGGCAATTTAACATTTTTATTTTGGGAACCATTCAAAAGAAAAGAAAACAATAAAGAAATTCATTTTAAATTAATTTCATTTACAATAATGAATAATTTAAAATATGATTTATTATATCTAAAAGAAAGTGTAAGATTTAACCTGCGTCACACACTTTAAACGTTTCAAAACTCCTTTATTGAAACTACTTCTGCAGTTACATCAGATCAGTCGGGTTCGAAATCTATAGTACGAAAATACAAACGGGAACTTACAATAAGTGAACCTTAACATGATGTTGGACTGTCAAACAAATCAAGTCACTACTTTTAATAGTTAGCAAATAACTCTAAGAAAAATCTACTTATATAAATCTCTTAAAAGCATGCATTTATTAGTCAAACAATAATGATCTTTTTTTTTACAAGAAAAATCTCGATCATATAAGTAATCATGCAATAATAAGCAAGAAACATCAAATTTCACTTACACTATTTGTGTCTCTCTGAAAATCATAGGAAATCTCGCTTTTTGGTAAACTTTCTCTAGACTGCAGTGGCTCACAAGATGCCTAACTGGGTTGACTCAGAAATCTCATAGGCTCAAGTCTTGTGGATAAATCGGCAAATCATAGAATAAATCCTGGACTAAACTATCTCTTCCTTTTGTTCAACATCACAAGGAAAAATGACTCTTGTAAAAATGTCTAGTATGTGGCAAACCTAGCACCCGATCTATGCGTACTATAAAGCAGTACTTGTGCATGTGTGCCTGAAATCAACTATATTTATTAATGCGAAGAAATACTGTAGGAACACTGTGTGCTCCACGGGTCACTACGGTGAATGGACTGAGATATTGACCGATTTATGAAGGTCTGTAAAGTTTAGTCCTGAACTTTACAGTAAGCAACATTTAAAGAAGATGAAAATGAGGCATGGGACCCAGAGCAGACTGGCATCGCCACTAATTGACAGATTACATTACATATGATAGACTCCATTCAAGGAACAGCATCAAAATTGCTTCCTTGTGCATGCGCATAACGTCTATTCATTAGTATTACAGAAAACACCTGAAGTATGTTTCCGAAGTCGCAAAGGCATCAAAGTCACAATACAGTATGTTGGATCCTTCTTCAAACAAAAATGAGTTAAGACTTACGTGTAGACTGTCAGAGACCGTAAAGGTCTTCTTTATGTAGGCTGCTCCTCGATCGAGTCTGTCCACTGGTGCGGGATCCAGGTTCATTGAAATACAAAATACAATGGAACATGCAGGGTCACGACACCCAGATCTTCCCCACTCTATTCCTGTATTGTAGGCTAATGGCCTACTTTAGTCACCCGTACCTTTTTCTCCATCACCCATTTTGCTGTTCGTCACGAGCAACAGTATTTGATGTACTCTATTCGCTTGTGCAACAAAAGAGGTTCTTAAATATTTTCAGCAACTATTCTATTCTGAATTATTGGCGATTTGATTGACTGGACCCATCAACATCGACCACCGATTGATTGACCGGTCCATTTTTATTTGCTTGCTTCGTATGAAGTAGGGGAAGTTGGGGCTACTGGACAACTTAAGCATATTCTTGATTCTAACCATATTCAATAATCAAGGAAAAGGATAAAACTGCTCTTAATATATGACCAAAACACTTGTTTATTTATTGCAAACAGTTGAAATCAATTACATTAATAAAACTTATGAATATAAACTCATTACAAATTCATCCAAAAGTGGACCAGTAGCCCACACCTGGGGCAAGTGGACCACATTAAAAAACTTTAAAACGTGCCACCAGAAGAATATGAAATGAATCGTTCAATAATTTGTGCAGTTTTAATGAACCCGAGGTCTCGGAGAAAACAACCTCAGTTAAGCTTGTTCAATTTACATCAGTCAATTTGTAACAAGGTGCTGACCTTTTTCATTTCTGTAACATCAACCACATTGAACATTTCAGGACTCTGTTTGTATGTAGATGGGCAATGGAAGAGGTTTGTATTATGACACAACATAACCCTGCTCAGTTCAGCATCTCATTATGTAGGTCTTTCCATTGATCAGCATTTTCATTGCTGCGATAAATTCCATTGGACGAAGTGAAAAAAGTATAGTCTTACGTAATCGAGATTATTTCTGCACTGCATCATCGGATTTCAATGAAGTATTCAGTTTTAAACAGAAAACATTGTAGGCTTGAACGAGCTACCCAAAACAACAATTTCTGATTTTTTTTGTGAGAAAACAAATGTTACTTTTGGGTTGCGTTTTTTTGGAGAACAATACACAGTTTGTATTGTTCTGCCGACAGGGCACGTAACCATGCAAAGCCCACAAAGGCTGTGCTGTCGTTCGACAATGAACCTTTCTTAATACAGAAGTTAACAAGATTAACAGTGTCATTGTCCTACGATGATATTACACATTCACGGTTACTTCTGTGAATCAAACCAGATGCGTGACTAAGAATCTCTTGTCTTAGGTTTCTTATGGCAACTGCATCCGGTTTCTCACTCTGTAAAAGCCCTGCCTCAATGTCAGACCAAATCAGTAGCCTAATTAGATCAACTAATTTCTCCGTCTTCGGAGATGTAGCAATAACCGTATTCTTCGATATTTGTTCCACATTCCTTGCAGTTCTAACATAAGGTTCTCAATAATTGCTTAATGAAGTCATGATGAACACATTATCAAGTTTTGTGTACTGCTGTACATCAACTAGGCAAAACGCCTCTACACATTGATGACTACCCGCCAAATCGTATTTCATTTGAATAGCTTACGGCTTGCTTAAAATGACTTGAGATTTACATGAACTTAACTACTAGGCCTATGCCACCTCTAACGTTGCTAAGAATTATGGCCGATCTCGTTTACATCTGAAGCATATTTCTCTATTCCCTAATCGTTATGTAGTTTCTGCATCTTCCTTTGGGTTTCATTGTGATCTCAGCCAATACGCTGTGACCCTGGCCCGGAACGAGTTCAAAGTTGAACTTGTGCAGCAGTTTGGCAAGTAGAACACGGGCCTCGATCTTAGATAAAGAGAAAACATGAATTGGTCAATGAAAAGCTTGTCACATTCATCACTTGCAGCTTCTTATCAGACGCGGGAGAAGTGTGCAATCAGTGAATCGTAAGTTGGAGAAAAACAAACCCTGAAATTGACAAGTGGTATATCTGAATCCTATGCCCAAACTACCAGGCGATCCTGGGGCCCTGTATTATGGAAAACAGTGTTGCTAATTGGATTTGAACTAAAAAGCGATGACATCCGAAAACTCCCACCGAACTTCCCTTTGCTGGTGCAAAAAGAATGTATAGAGAATAACAATTTCAGGAGTTTGCATTTCTAGGGCAATTTGGAAAGAAATGGTATGTGCGCTCAATGTAGGTTACAATAGGTTCGACATTATAAATACAATGAAAGTGTGTTTATTCTATTAACATAATGAAATCCAAACCCCTGACTTTAGATTAACACCTACGTTTGTTGAAACAATTCATACTTACCAAAGCAAACTGCTGACCAATGCAGTTACGACTACCGAGTGAGAACGGAAAGTACGCATACTGTGGTCTGCCAGAAAGAAACGAGTCATATAAACTTTATGGATTATTAATGGAAAAGGAACGATGATGAAACAGCATGAGTATGCCAGGGAGCAAGAATTATTCACCATGAAGCCAAAATTACCACTTTACAAAAAAGTGAGGGAAAAAAAAAACCGCGTCGCCGCACACCTTATGGAGCCAGCCCCTTACCAGAACTGGAGACTTTTTAGGCCTTATTTTTCGCTGTGCATCTATATCCAATCTCAGTTGCAAAACTAAGAGTGCCAAACAATGACTCATCTACGATCTGACATGTTATCCACAACTGCCAAGCAAATGAAATTCAACAATGAAAATACCCTGATGAACAATGAAATTATGAAATATAATAATGAAATACTGGCAAGGCCATTTTAACTCTTTTTTCCCATTAAAAACGGAGAAGAGAAATACAAATGTATAAAGAATAGTACTGAAAAGGCATCTTGAATATTTTTGTCCGGATGTTTTCTGAGATCAGCTCTTGTTGTTTTGTCAATGTCACAAGAACAGAAATACTAACCTGTCATCACTTGCATTAAAGCGGTCTGGATCAAACTGCAACGGGTCGTGAAAAAACTCATCCATTCTTGCCATGGCGTATGAACTTAGCTTGAGGATAGTTAAAAAGTAAATGTAAAATTAGAAACATTATTCAGGTAACTTGTCATGAACGAAAATAAGTGCTTGAGGTGGACTCCCTAATTATAGGCACCTAATCAACGAGATATGCGTATATATCTTATTATCGCTGTGACCCAAACAAGCTCGGTGTTGCATCTCGAGCTCTCCGACGTAGGTGAAAATAAAAAGTCTTAGAACTGAAATTGGACGTCCAAGGCAATTCTTGTACAAGAGTTTTCAACCAACACCAACGCATAGACCAGCGACCACTTTCTTCAAGGCGCCTGCCAAAATCGCCATGTCTTCAATGCATGTGGTACTTCCAGACTTATAGGTTATGGAGTGCGGTGGCTACGCAGGGCCTCCAAGTGCAACTTTGCGATCCACACGAACGAATTAACAATGGAAGTTTTCCATGGATTTCCTTAAGCAATCTCTCAAGTAGGTACTTACCGTAAACGAGCCACAGAATCCGCCTCTCGACATTTTTTCACGAGCCGAGTTTTTAGGATTTTTTTTAGACACTATGCGGTCATTTTGTTAAAAATTGTAAATACCATTCTCGCGGAGAGTTCATTTTGCCGAGGCAGGTCAGCCAAACATGCATACTTATTTCAATATTAAGGAATGTCTTGACATGCATGTCTACTTACAAAAACAAACAAAAACGGGCACGTGACAGCCGAGTTCGGGGGGGGGGCAGAGAATCCGCCCCCAGCGGACGGTCCAATATGACTCGGCTCTTCTGGGCACAATACCATTACAGACAGCAATTATACCTCCAAGTAACCGAGCTCGTATATTAGGTTTACCAAATTTTGCGGACCTCCTTTCTGTAAATGCTGGATCACCCACTGCATTATAATATGAAAAATAAGTGGTTTTTTTTACAACTTACCAACACTACAGTTCCCTTAGGAAGCTTATAACCTTTGACCATGAGGTCACAAGCCAGCTCTCTGCTGGTTCCTGCCACTGGCGGCCACAGACGAAGGGTTTCCTTCAAAACCTGTGAGATTTCAACCAAACTGTGCCTTTACGCAACATAGAGGCAAATTATAGCCAGTAAAATCAACATTACTGCAAAAATCTGCTTGTTTAAGGGTCTGACCTGAATGTAACGTAAATATAAGCTAGCCCATCAGCTATGACCAGTGGAGAGATGTAAACGAATAAGGCCATAGCAAAGAGATTAGTCCCCATGACACATTCCTATAAGCTCCGTGCTCAAACACTACCTCAGCCAATCAGGTTACTCTTTGAGCTGTTCTGTCCAATGGCGTAGCTGGGATTGTACCAGTAGGGGGCACAAGGGAGTACCAGCATTTTTATGGGGGGGGGGCCAGCTTTCAGTGGTGTGTTTTTGGGGGGTTAAGTTTTTTCTAACCTTGTTTAATATTCACTCACCCATTTATCTCGTTTTGGGTTTTTTTGGTGCGGGGGGGGGGGCACCTGGGGGCCCCGGGAATTTGTGGGGGGCACATGCCCCCCAAGGCACCCCAGTTGCTACGCCCTTGTTGCTATCATAAACACAGCCCACGTATACTATGTCCAGTAAAAACCTATATGTGTTCTTATACCTGCATCATGTACTTGAATTTACTGATGTCAGTGTATTCTAGAAAATCCTTGTCGCCAACAACCGCATCCACTTCAGTTTTCAGTCTGTGGCGACAGTTAGAAATGCGAGTGTTAAACAAGATTAATGAAAAAGAAAAGGGACTGCGTTTTACTGTTAACATGCGTGTTTGTTAACTAACTTTATTTTGTGAGCTTGTGAACTTCATCAAGTTGACACCGTCCGCCAAACTGAGAAACGAGTCCTTTTGCTTTTCTAATCACGCCATTGCAAAACTAATAAGTTTGGAACACGCCATTTCTGAAGACCATATAGTTCTTCAAGAACCACAGGCTTTCCTAAGGAACATCTCTCTTAATTTTTTTTTCGTCGTCTTTTTGGATAAATCACTTAACCCCAGCAGTCCTGAGTTCTGTATTCTAATACGGTTTTGTATACACCATAGGGCGTTTAATTAATATATCACTCTGAACGACATTGTGCAATGTTTTCGGTACCTATGCAGAACTTCCGGGTGGTGCCCTAGCTCCACCAGAGTGAAACTCAGAAGATTAGCAGTTGTCTCCTGACCTGGTCGGGTTAAACAAAGTGGTAGTCAGTCAACATGCTGGACTTTCCAAAAATACTTGCCTTCCATGTATTAAAGCTTAAAATAAAAACACAGTTGAAGGAATTCTAAGTGCTGTTTTGATCAGTGTCTGTTGGGCCCTGAACATATTTTTCATTTCATAAAAGCCAACCTTAACTTCTTACCAGCAATGAAAAGCGTAACGAACTCATCAATCAGTCCTTCCTGATCAATCGCCTTTTCTCCCTTGAAACAGTCGATTTCTTTCAAGATGTAAGTCAAAATGTCATTCGGTACATCATCCTGTTTCTCCATGGCTCGTAGCCTCTCCTCAATGCACCGACGGCCAGTATCTCTGAGGAAGTTGATGCATTTCCGGACCTCCTTTCGGTATTTACGAGCGGCTGGTAAGGGACTAAACTGTAAACATTCAATCCATGTTTAAAACTTTAATTTCACGGAAGTGGCCACACTGATTTTCAAAACGAGGCTTTGCAACAGAAAGTATAAACATCGCGGGGGGTGAAGCAAAAGGAATGGCTCAATTATTGATTGCGCATGCCTGTATGACTGCAGGACGACGATCTCCTCTAGATTCACGGCAGGGTTTGTAACTGTATTAAATAAAAGCTCTTTGTGGGATTCTGACCGAAGTCGTAACGCAGTGAAGCTATCCAAACTTGGAGTTGAAGCATATATCTGAGATTCAGTCACCCCGGGCTCGATTCGTTTCAGTTTTGCTAAGCTACAATAATTAGATTTGTACAGTTTATCAGAGGTTATCAAAAGTTGTCTTTTGTGACCTCATGCCACTTTTTTCGTTCCCTCTCTTTAGAACACATGTATTGTACATATGCAAAAAGAACCAGTACCTGAGGATTTGTCTTTAAACAACTAAGCAATCTACTTCCACACTGAACTCTCTCGAAATAATTATTTTGATCGATGAGTAACCCCTCCCCTAGAATCAATAAAATACAATCAATAAGCAGGCGGTGGTCTGCTTGTTGAAGGTAGATGGAATCAGACTGTATTCGTTGCTCCTTTGCTCAATTGAGTATCGATCTTCTGGATCGTTCGTTTCTTAGGCCTAACGACACTTTGTGAGCCAGTTGTACGATTCTTTGTTAAATTACAGTGCATGGCATTCAAATCAAATCAGTTTTTCTGCATGTACAAGGTTATTGGGATCTTAGCCACCTGCTACCACATCCCACAATCCGTCGGCGACTCATGGGTGCATTCCTACTGTAACGCTAGCAGCCTTTCCCCTCTTACCACTAGCCACGGGTTTTTGCTCTCTTTATCTCCTCCTTGAAAGCACATGGACACCGCCTCCTTGAAGGGAGAACTGTCGTCCAGCGTGATATTGAGATCCATTCCAAATGCAACCTGTCACCAAAACATGGGTCGGCACTCGTACAATCAAATCTTTGCATGAAAGCGTTCCCCGACGACTTCAAATTATAACACAAATACACTCAATCGAGTTGCTAAGGGCTGAGTTTGTCGGTTGAGGTTTAATTAGTACAAAAATGGAGATAAATCAAAATTCAAAAGCACGAAACACCCAAATTTGTGTCTTCTTTTCCCTTTCAAGTTATTCCTCCATCTTGCTCCACTGCACAATCACGATGTTGTCTACAACAAGTATACAAGCACACTTTTGGGGCATGAATTGTGACAACTCATGTAACTGCTAATATTTGCCCTCGTTGGTATAACTGACTCTAAAATACAGAGTTTAACACTGGTTTAGACATTATCCAAATTTAAACTCTACGAGAAATGTTCTTCGTAGCATATTTCATGTGCGTTTTTGGCTTTATAAAAACACGACCAGGATATAAATCTGCACTTTTCATATTCTTTTTATAAAGCAGCACCTCTGTCTTTATGACGACGTTTACTCCAAGGATTGCCATCATTGCTTTGCACATTAACGGTGGTCAGAATACCGCCTGCTTAAATGTGCAAATTATCCTTCCACTAGTGAAATTAACCCCACAGCCAACTGAATGTATACATTAGTGGCACTTTGTGAAATGCGGGTCAAATACCATCGTTAAGCCTCTTCTTAACAATTTTTTCCACGCGAGAAATGGAAAGTGAATACACAGGCCTATAGTGACTGGGGCCAGGTATAACTGCCTATTGTAATAATTACAATAGGTGCAGAAGCCCGAACTGAAAATTAAAAACATAAATTCCATACAGCATTAAGGGGAACTGGTGGCGTTTGTTTATCCAACCTTTTACCTTCGCAATGATGTCAAGCGTGGTTCTATCTAATTCATCCAGCATTACAACCTCGGTCTTCCCGTCAGCCTTGGGGCTCAGTTTTTCAATCAGCAAATCTGCACCTGCATTGAACTGTCCCATCAGACCCTGCAGATACCTAATGCATTCCAGAAATATTTCTTTTTCAAAGGCTGGATGTATGTATAATAGTAACAACGAAGGATTTCCATTCACGATCTGAAGAGGCCGTTCATGCTCAAGTGAGGCGGCCTACTTTGTTCAAAGATATTTTGACGTTTTTTTATTTCTAATTTTGTGAATTCCTTCAGTTACAAAGCTAACTCTTATTATCACCACGTCCTATATGATACAGTGTAATTCGACCACCAGAATTAGAAGCCATTACTGCGGTGGCACAACGCTCGTGGACAGGTGGTACGTGCGCTTTACATGCCTCTTCGACCAACAGGGTGTCGTGATTTGCTAAATGCACGCGCGCGTCAAGCTGAAGAATGTGCGTGTGAGTGCGGTGCCTACGCAGTTATGGTTTCTAATCGGATTAGTCTATAATCCGATGATGGATCTAATATTTCACTTAATCTTACACAAGCTTTGAGTGAGAGCAATGAAAAAGATTTGGGATATGTATGCATGTACATTTCCTCACAGTAAAAAGGCTGGGCAAGTTCTTGCCCAACGTTGGGTACGAGGTGAATCGTTTTAACTATTGGACAAAAAGATCAAAACGCTGGGTACAAAGTAGTAAATAGCACAGGTAATCTATTTTGACAACTGTGGGGTACAATAAGATAAGTTTGCCCATACGTTAGGAGGGAACCAACGCCGTTGGGTAATCTTTTTGCTCAACAACTCAGCGATTGACCTGGTAGTGCTACCCATTGTTAGGCAAAAAATTGCCCAGCGGTTTTACAGTGCTCTGTAGGCCACCACTATAAGAAGAACCACGCAATTTCGAGGAAGTGAAAATAAATTCAACACAGTATTGAAAACTGGGCAACTAAAGCCCATTTCTTACATCATGCACCCACCCATTTAATAATTTTGACGGACACATACGACATAATGTTAATCATCATCTTACTTTCTGTGGAAGGCGGGGCTCAGAAGAGCCCGTTTTTGCGCATGCGCCTCAGGGTTAAGTTCGGAAACGAGGCCACTTCCAAGAAAACGAGTTCCGAAGATTTTTATGAATATCCTGTAGACTGCATAAGGCTTAGGGTGCGTGTCGGTACACAGGATTTCCTGTAGTCATACACGAAAGTAAAAAATGCATCAATAACCCATTTGCGAGTTAAATTTGAATAAAATCCAGTACACTGAGTTATTCATTGAGAACAGTGTATTGTTGCAAGGCGTCTCTTATGTAACTCAGCAAAATCTTGCCCCGAATCACGAGGTATAGCAACAGTGCTTTTAGTATGGAGAATTCAAATTATCACGTTCACTCGAATTTAAAAGAACTCAGCGTACCAGGTTTCATTTAAATTTAACTCACAAAAGGAATATTATCCAAAGACCTTCTTATCAAGTTTATGCGCAGACGAGAGAAGGAATACTCCCACTTACGCAGTTTATTTTTACGCCAGGTCGTTGAATGAGTTTGTAGGTGATGTCCAGCAAGCACACACAGTTGGACCTGTAATTATCTTGTCTATTCAAACGTACCACTCTGGCCAATAATATCAAAGTAGGCTTCTTCATTTACAGTGTTTAACAAAAATAAGATTCACATAAAATACTGTAGCTTAGATGGTTTATGACTATGGATGAAAGTGCCTCACTGGACTGGTGTAAATACTGAACAGACGTGCTTATTTTGTAAGGACGCCTTTCAATGCCATGGAATTTGTCATTGAACAATACGCAGGAACACTCACCAGAATATTTGCCAAGGTGTTCAAATTCAAAGTGTTTTTTTTTAATACATGGAGAAAGGGTTTCAAGGTTACCAGCTGTTTCATCTGACAGAGATACCAGCAGCGGGAGTAGTCTTTGGTGTGTATTTTTTGAGCGGAGGGTTTATGATACCAAAAGGGACCGCCGAAATTAAGTAAAACACGGTGTCGGACCCATTGATCAATTAAGCAACAAACAGAACTAAAGAGTGTGGACGCGGGCCTATCATTTGAGCTACTGTCGGGGGTATGGAGATCACATACCTTGACAAAGTCAGGATCCACCACAAATATGAGTGGAGCAAAGAAGAAAAAGACGTGTATCACAGGTCCATATTGCTGTATCCTTCAAAACAATGAACGGAAGTACAATAAGCTAATCAACGCCGCTCAATTTCTCAAAACCGTACAGTGTACGTAACCAGCATTCAATTTAACGTCAAAGCCAAATGAGGAACGTGGGTTAAGATGCAACATTTTTAACAAAACCATTCATGGATGCAACACCAAAATGTTTTACTGAAAAAAACAATATTCCATCAGATAAAACTGAATTACAACTACAATATCATTCAATGAACACAACCACCATAGATGTTCCAGCTTATCAGTAGGGTTCGTTTGAACCCAGAATGGATTTAGGAAGCTTGCACCTGAACAAGAACATTATAGCCGCCTAGCGAATTCATGTGCCTATTTTGAATTTATCAGTAAAAGAAGTCAACCTTGGCGATCTTGAGCATACCGAAGTTACATGCAAAATAACAAAATCTGTCTTGTACGATCAAGCTCTTGCCATTACCAGCCAACTAAATAGATTGAAACAGCACATTTTATTTCGACTATTCTGATATACGCCATGGTCAAACTTTATACCAAACGGAAAGCATCACTCCCGCTTCGGAAAATTGTCTCCAATTTCCCGAGCCCTTTTTCATTGCTTTTTCATAAATACTCAGAACTCGACTCTTTTTAATGATTTCTTCATTTTTCAATATAATTTGCATAGTTATTGCCACTCAACATTATAAGCTGTCAGAGTGGTAAAATCTTAAAACCCTAGAGACACATACGCCCTGTACCCCAGACTTTACGTTATAATCTTGCATTGCTCCATGAAATGTGAAATATTGAAACTTTACTGGTATTGCTAAGCCAATAGAGTAGACAACACTTGTTTCATGTGTCACACACTTTATGGAGGGTTCGCTCACGGCGCTGTAATTTGTTTTCTCGTGCAGTATTGCTGCTTACGCGGTTTTTGGCAATTAATTTTATATCAACGATTTTCTCGCTCGAGAAAACGAGCAATGTTTGCTGAACATTTTTGATGAATAAAGAACAAACTAAGCAAAAGATTTCATTAGCTACTATAACTGAGGGGGCTACAGTCCTCGTTTACATAAAATAATCCTAGGAATTCCTCCGAAATCAATTACCCGCTACATAGGTTCCTACGTTCGATCAACGTCTGATAAACGTCTGGAGACTACGTGGGGAACGGGCTCCAACAGCGCCTACTCTTAATCGAGAGAAGAGCTACAGAGGCTTTGCGTGGCAGTCATCTTGCAGGACAATTTTTTATACAGAGAAACCTTCTTCGTGCATATCCCGTGGAATAAAAGCACTGTATGGCTTGGAAGACTGCAGCCATGCAAACCTTTGATAGAGTACCGAGGTGAACACATTACTCTCACAATAGGGCGTTCTCGAAATGAGTGGATTCGGTTAAACTTTGGTTTCGCGGCTTCTAAATACATGTTCAAGCTCCGATGGGAGCCAGCGAAATTGAAGTCTAAGCCGAATCCCCTCGTTTCCAAAACGCCAGTGTGTCAAGGCATTAGCTTGAAAACCAGCGCGTGAAGCAACACGCGCGCGTATACCCGTTCGTTTGCACTGCACTTAAGGTTCAAAACGACGTTACACGTCGGTGTCCTAGAGAGAGCATCCATGTTGCATGTCTTTTTTGTAATGTGCTGGGATAGAGTACCGACCGACATTGGCTTACAGCTGTCCTATTTACTGCATTGTTGCTTCGAAAATGTACGCTATATAAACTTACATGTCAACGATGGCATCGGAAAGGGTCAAATTCCTCTCACGGTATTCCATCATTAGTGAAGAGTGGCCGAAAAAGAACCTGTAACAAAATATTGGTATTTAGAAATCTAAACATCATACTTGGTCAGTCCCTTATCAAAAACTGCTCACCCATCTGCCATTATCTAAAAATGGTTTGTTCGGAAATCCTAGATAATCATGATAAATACTAATTGGGATTCCCATCCCAGTTGGAACTCAAAACGTAGTCCCAGCTTTCATTTTGTAAAGGAGCTGTGGCATGCAACACTCGTGAAATTGTCTTTGTAATGGTCAAAGCATTTCACCAGATCTGTACTGAAACGCCGTTCGTATATCATACTACACGATAATCGCATCATCACGAGGGACACCCACAAGTGAGAGTGCTCTTCGTTTCAGAGCCATTAATCTACGTGTTTTACATGCACAAAACCGATCCAGCCCCGTACCGTGTACGGTACACTGCGTCCAACGGCCTGTCATCGCACGCGTGCATGTACAATGGAAATTATGTGTCTAAGTAGTGTACAATGTTCGAATGGTTCATGCATGAATAGTACATGTAAAACTGGGGATATATGCCGTGAATTTCAACATTTCCTGTCAAAATTATAATGATAGATAGACCTCGGTTTCAATAATAAATGTCATGTTAACTTAATGTACCTTTGTGATCGTCTTTCGTTCCCGAGTCACTTAAAAGGTCGTAAGATTATGAAGGATAAACGGATCTGTGCTGAGTTATAGGTCGACATGCAAACGCGTCCGGTTGGGAAGAGAAAAAACCCTAGCGGAAAACCGTCAGCAAATCTAAAACTTTCACACCTTTCTCAACCACAGCACACTTTTTAAACCTCAGGGAGAACTTCGAATTCTTTGTTTCAAGCCTTCAAAAATCGCATCTAAACGTAAACAAATTATCGCTTACGAAAACAACGTTTCACAAAATCATTAGTTTTAACCACTCAGGTACTATTTCTCAATTTATTTTCACAAAGTACGTCAGAAAAAGACCTTATCTTACCACGAAAATATTGTTGGCAGGTATTTTTATTTCGAAAAAGTGAAAACAAGACGTAAAGTTCATGAAATGAAGCAGTTGCTTGCTTGGCACGAATTCCCATGGCCCTCGACGTACACAAACGGCCATAAAAATTGGACATGCAGTTAATAATTTCCCAGTGAAACATAGTTACGTGTACTATCATGGCAAAGACAGGCTAGTGTCTGTTCCGCATGACTGGCCCACCAGGCCTGCGAGCATCGGTTGCCATGGCCACCCTCAAAAAGCCATTAAAAATAGTAGGCGAAATGTTTGGTTCATTTTATTTTACCTTCCTCCCAAAAGCATCTAAAAAGCCCAAATGTAGCCTCATCCATTCAAAGGGCCATGAAAGGTCACATGAACAAATTGTTTACTTTTTGCCGCCCCCGAGAAGTGCAACTGTAGGTCAAATCCTAACCAAGCCAGGAGAATGCGAGCTGGCGCTCTACACTAAGAGAAATGCAGAATTGTATATTGATGCAGGCGCTACCACTACTTGACGATTTTGGAAACAAAATGGCTATTCATTATTGTACACCGTAGGGGGGTGCGGCTATCGCTTACCAACTGTCCGTGAACTCTGGCACCTTCCATACACAAAGCGGTTTGTTTCCAACAATGGTGACAGTTAGTACTACATGTGGCAACACTATCTCTGTATACGGCTCTGGGAGGAATTCTCTACCGCTTAACGAGGACTGCAACTAGGTTTCACTGCATATATAGGGGCCTAAATTTTAATTGTGGATTTGAACACGTTGACATGACATTTACACTACGGGGAAACAGGCGTGATAAAGGCCAATTGGCAAAGCGATGTGTGCAGGAGTAGGCCTACGCAGTTGACGGCGACCATACATAAAAGACAAATTAGGCCAATATCACGAAACACGTACAGTATCTACCCTACTGTGCATACTCACCCTTTCCATCCCTTGCAAGGAACGGCTGGAATATGTGCATACTTGCAGTGCTGGTAATGCAGGTACAACACAAATGCTACAAACAACAGTCCTGCACAGGTGAGCAAAAGGGCCAGCAATCCGAACAGACAAGTTGTGAGGGAAACAGCGGCCATGTTAGGATGTATATAAGCTTGTTGATTGAAGACGCAGAGATCCTGTGTAAGTTATTTCAATCTCTGTGACACTTGTATAATAGTCAGTACCTACGATGCTACGACCCACCAGGTTATGTGAAAGGACAGTCCTTCATGCACAGTTTGAAGGTCACACGGCCCAGACTGACAATGCACACCAGTTCGTGCCCACTGTCTATTGGGTCCATATTATTTCAGTTACGAAGCCATGCAGCAGATTTATTGGATTCTGTCACGTTTGGTAAACCTTAAAGATTAAAGTGCAATTCCCTCCGGTTATTTTTGGTCATGCTGCAACTTTTGAGGTTGTTTCGGTGCCTGCGTGTTTCAAGTTTTTTATGTTTTGGGGTTGAACATTGATATCGTCTGGCGCAAAAGCTTCGTTAGGCTGCTATGCCGTATTTCATGGACATTTATGATTTCCTGTATAAAGATGCACAAAGAAATGGAGCGGGATATGAATATGTGGCCTCCAGAATGTCGTTCTTCGACAAAGAGGTTCTTTGGCCCTATGTGAGTGGTTCCACTTAATTAAGTTATCCTGCAGAGTCCATCAGGCTCACAAAAAACTATACTCACAAAAAAAAGTAAAAACAACAAAAAGTGTGCATGGGAAACTGAGTAGACCGGTGCTAATTACATACCGGTATAGATGAATAAAGAAATTAACTGAATTTGAATCATCTCAAGCATTGACCATCATATCTGACAGGTGAATCCCGCCAGTTTGCAAAATCGCTAGTTGTTGCTCTTTGCCTATAGCCATTTGCTAATTCTCAACACAGTAGGCCCACGTATCAGTTTCTAGGAGGTTCAGTCATCGTACATATACAGTGACGCAGAGCTACTGCTGTGGGGAAGGAAAGCAAAAGAAAGACATTTTTCTCCAGTAATTTTGTATAACTATGTTGCGCTGCACAATGAGACGAACAAGCTGCCCGCTGCAAAATAGCGTGTTCGGTTCGCTTCACTGATGAACCACAAGATGGGGATAAACACCTATATCATAAAACGGTCGATTTGATCATATTTTTCTTAAGTTTAATTTTGCAATTGTAGTCCATCCGCTGTCCCGATTTTGCCTCTGTCTCTGTTCCGGAAATAGATTTCCTTGTACCTGTTGTATTGTGCTCCCTCTCCGCACCCAATGGACTATGGGTATGAGGACAAACTGTCCATAATGTGTATTTGGAGCTGTTCATGTGATCATTATTGATGATGATTTTCCCACAATGCACCAACTGCAAGAAGTACATGGGTCGATAACGCACACCCGATGTCAGACTTATGACCCAACACAGTCGATGTTAACTGTTGGACAGGCTATGCCTGCACCGTTCTCACCCACAGTCGCGTCATATGAACACATGGCTGTATTTGTTCATCTTGAACCAACAGCGAAGTAACCCAGATCACTAGCGTACATTCACTGAAATATAATCGCCACCACTTTTTACAACATTCATATGTTTAGAGGAGAGTCACTCCCTAGTTCATCCAACCCAGCAGAAAGATGTTCTTACATTTTCTTATCTTTCATTGTTTATTCATAAATAGGCCTACCCAAGATAGTTTAGCCACTCTTATTAGTCGAGAGCCCGTCACGTGGCCAGTCTTAAACGGATGATCAAGCAGCATCTGGCAGTGCGCCACCTCACCGTGGCCGTCTCCACGCAAAGTGCGCAAAAACCTCCATAAAGTAGTTGTTTAGGACAACTTGGCGAAAGGAACAACAAACAATAACATGGCAAGATAAATGTCTGAAAAAAGTAGAATTGAACAATATCGTTGGAAATATGAAACAGTTTACACTTATTTTGACTTTGTGATTCAACAGTATGAATGGGAATAAATATCGTCGCCGTCACCGCCAACTATTAAATGCACAGCGTTACTATATTAATGTACACAACTTGAGTAGAGAATGTACAGTTCCCCTTTAGTTTCATTTTCACCAACTAAGAAATGTAAATCTCAGGACTTTTTGTTTTGACGAAATAAAACCTTTAACAATATTCTATGCCAGAATGTTTTTTAGTTAAATACAACTATATTTGACAGGTTTACGAATGATAATTCGTGTCAACATCTACAAGTGTATCTAAAACATGCATAAGTATTAGTGAAAACAAAAATATTGAAATCACACGTTAGTATGCTAAGTGCACGGGAACACCTTTACGATAGTTCGTGAAACCTCAGTAACTGTTCACTGCATGGTTTTATGAAGTGCACCAACCCAGGACTTGCGCGTTAATTTGCCGTATCGCAGACGGAAATGCTTGCCGGGGTCAGCCGACCTGGGTCATCAAAGCTGTGGGTCGAGTGCAGGTGGGCGCGGGCTCGAGTTTCAACCGAGAAATCTTGTGGATTTTACACAAGCTTAAGAAACAGCGTGAAGGCCCAAACACTCAGTTCTAAAACAACATCTTCCAGAGCAAAAATCTGAAACACCTGTGTGTAACGGCTGCAGGGGTAGGTCTTGATGCTTTCTGTAGCTTTTGTAGTTCCGTGGCCTGGGTTCCAATGCTACCCGTAGTCCGACGTGTGGATTGGATTTACATTTCCTGCCGTTTTACCCAGAACACTATTATTTTTCTACCGCCACTTAAACTGTGGGCTTTATGTAATCTGAGCGCAACTGCGGTGAAACTGGCAAGTTTAGTGTACTGACACTGGTAATTTTGCGACCGAGGGCCTGTTTGTTCCACGCGGGTCGCGATGAGTGATCCCATTCGCGCTATGGGTTCTGGTGACAAAGTCAAAGTCAATTATACTCCTGACTGACCGTGCCGATGAAGATCTCTTCAATAGGGTCTGTTCAAGACCAAGAAGTGGTTGCTAAAACTATGGCTGGCCGTCGGTACAAAAATGCTAAAGAATGATTCACAAAATATTAACAAGTCCCACGCAGCTATCAGAAAACCAGATCATAATTCACGGACTACTAAACACAAACTTATGAAAATAATTGACCAAAAGTTGACATTTCTGCAAACTTTGGCCTCCCATATGAGTTGTAGGCAAAGAGGGAACTCCCTTGAAACCGTCAAAGACCAGCGAGAGTTGCGTTGACATAGCATGGTACGGTGAACGCTGTCCTGCCACTCGCGATCGCAGTCCCCGTACCGAACAAAATGGCGACTATGATGCAAGGTGTTGCTGCGATGATGACGACGCAGGCAATTGTTTCAAGCATGGACCATTTTCTGAAACGATTTGGATCAGTAAAAGTAAGTTATGATATTTTAGGGCGATACAAGTGTAGTCAGTGTATATCCTTCTAGCCTATTCGATGAGTGGTTCGTCAAAATGATACTTTTCGTTTCACAGATCGGATACCACTTCAACAACCCCAATCTTATTGGAAAAAAAGCGCCAAGCAACATTTTTGGTCCTCTGACGGCGCCAAATATGTCAAAATGTTTGACACTTCTCCAAGTTCAGTTCGCCTCCGTTAGTACTGTTTTCTATAGGTCCTTTTATTGAATATATGGTACATTTATTAAAGAGCACCTCTTAGGAGAACACGTTTTCTCTGATTTTATCTATTCAAATAAATATGGAAGCATCCAAATCGAATGCAACGTCACTGGCTACAAACAATGGCTACGTGCATTGTTTGGCATGCACAGGGTTTATCCACTATGAACACAGGGTGAAGGTTCCCCTCGTTTTCTCAGAATGACCCAATCTATATTAAGAATCCTCTTCTACACATGAACAGAAAAAAAAACCTTTTAAGCTTGTTATAGTTGAGCTCTGAAGACAAATGACACTGCATTCGATTTGGATGCTTCCATATTTAGTTGAACAGATCAAATCAGAGAAAACGTGTTTTCCTTATAGGTGCTCTTTAAACTGTTAATGCGAGGTTGATTTCGACAACGGACAAAAGACAGGCACGTGTTTATGAACATTGAGCGAACCGGATCCTCGGGCCAACAATCAAACTGGAAAATCTAGTCCAGTATTTACCGTATAGAAACTTGGAGAAAGCAACATGACAAAAGCACGATTAATGTGAAATAGTCACATGGAGTCACACTCTGGGTGTCTTAACGGATTTGGGACTCTTTGAATCATGTCATGCTAAAATCAGACCTTTTGAGGATGCGGGTGCTCGTTTTTGCCTTTATCGTGGGCCCTGTAAAAGTTGTAGCCATTGCCAGCGATACCCGTTTCGACCATCATTAACACTGAAGATGGCGGAGCGAAGAGGTGCGAGGGAAGTAAATACCTGTATATAGGACGTCAGTGAAACCAGTCTTTTCAGACACACTACGGAAACAGTTACTTTAGGAGAGGGTAAAAAATAAAGATACATACGTTGGTTCTGGCTGGTAGGTTTTCCGCAAGCGCAGGTAAAACAGGCAGGGTACAAGGAAAGAAATAAGTGGGGTGAGAAATCCACCAGATATAGACGACAACAAGGTAAAATGAGGCACCGTCTCCTGGACAAATATCTGCATGAGGAGAACCGAAGAGCGTAGAACCACTCGCTTCCAGCTAAACTCTAAAGATAAGGTGAAGAATACTGTAAATCAACTATTATTCCCCAAACGTCATGGCAGTACAAAATCTCGATCGAGGGACTTTTATTTTTCAAAATTGTATTGGGTATAACCCTTGGCCATTAGCGCCGAGGGATTTTTTTTGTCTCATGAATGAGCAATAATCCCAGGACTGGGTAAACATTTCTACTTGGTAAAAACAATTTAAAAAAACCCCACTATAATACTTACCGATGGGTATATGCAGAACCTCTTCCAGGTACTGAAAAAGTGGGTTGTTCACTAACAAGACAGCTCCAGTCAGATGGACCATGATAAGCGATGCAGAGACCTTCTTGAGGGCGTCCTCTGGTAGCAACGAGTACACTATCGCAGAACCTGACACGTTCGTCAGTGTGTTCCCGTAGGTAATTACCAAAGCAAGCATCACCGGAAGTGTCAGAAATAAAGTCACTGCAATGAATATGAGCAAACAGTCTGTGTTTCATCGAAAAACTGGGAAAGGTTAATATTTTGGTGTGACATACAGGATGGCTAATAGCAAGTGTGCTGATATACACAGATGACGTTTTGTCCTCTGAATCGTTTCTATAACTAGAACATTTTCATTGAATCCAAAGCAAATAAAAAATCATACAAAATGAAAATTATGGTCCAACCGATCTGACCTTACAAAATATCAAAATTTGAAACGTGGAAGTAATATTATCCTGTTATGTGATACAGGTGCCAAGGTAGTAAGTGAGACTCACGTCAAAATACTTTTTTTTCTAATTTGGGAGCTCATCTGGCGAGAGTTGGAGCTTTCACGATGAATAAAAACGACGAAGTCTTCTTCATCGTGAGGCCTACGTTCACGCGTTTAATGAAATGAATCTTCAGTTTTAGAAGTGGGGGAAACCACGGATACACATATCCAGGGAAAGCCAACAGGACCAGGCAGGGAATGAACACCCACATGCGGGCCTATATAGTTGGGATGGGAACCCGGCTCGCAGAGTTGGAAGGCGAGGAATGAGCCATTGCGCCAACCTGACTTCCCGAACTCGTTGAAGTGAACGTGTTTTTCCTTGAGCAAAACAAACGTCAAGTGTGGCAGTAAACTGACCATCCAAATTGATCTTTTCCAGCAGGGAAAAGACTGGAAAAGAAAGAAATTGAAGAAGAAGAAGAAAAAAAGGACCTACTACGACAAAACCCACTTCAACACGCACGCAAGTCCGTTTTCCTCAGGCAATTGCGTCCACCACGGCACATAAATAATAAAACACTGGCACGCTTTGCATGGTGGATTTTTGCATTTAAGAGACTCTATTATCAATATTTAACGCCTGTTAGAATGGGTGGATAGTTTGATTGAGGGGAAATGAAATCCTTGTCGGTTGCGATGCATGATTTAAATTTCCGTATGCATCATTCAAACAGATATCTCTAAAATATATGATGGGCTCTGTGATGACAGAGGCAGACAACGTTCACGCGAACGCAGACTTGCAGACCTAAATGGCGTCCATATTACAGTCATTTGCAAAGTTTCAGGACCACACCCACAGAATATGCATTAACCTGAAGAAAAACCAAACTTAAACCAATCAATCATGGCAACTTATGTTTATTTCAATTTGTAACCTTATTATCTTGGTTAAAAAGCTACAGTGTTTTTGACTACATCTCCATGATATGAAACAGTCTAATACTTGATGTGCCCTCCTTTATTTCTGATTACTTAGACTGGCTTTTTTACCCATGCAGCAATACAGACAAAGTGACCTGCCCTTGCAAAAAATCATTCAAATGGGTATGTAGTAATACACTAACTTTATGCACCACTGCAAAACATATAAAGTAATCATTCATTAACGTATTAAATGCAGGCCCAGTAACAGAAATATTAATAAAATTCCAGGTGGTCCTAAACATTTTGCAAATGACTGTATATATTTCCCTTCAGCGAGATCTGGAAATGTTTAAATTGAATTCAAATGAAATTCTTTTGGGAAATGTATGCCTACATTTTACCTTTAAAATGTTTATCGTCATATTCATATTGATTTCAGGTCAATGTGTATCGAGCACCACTCTACCAGCATATCGCTGTAGCAGGTTACAATGGAAAGAAAGAAAAAGGAGTTTTGTAGCTCTTCCTGAATACCGGATCCATATGCATTGTAGCCATCCATCGCATTGTTGAATTTTGTTGTTGGCTGAAATAAAATACTAATTTCCATTAAACGGAAAAATACAAAATATCCACTAAATATATTTAAGGTGAGCAATTAAATTGACATTTTGAAGTTTTCAAACTGGCTTAAGCGTTACTTTCGAATGCGTGGATTCGTCATGCTTAATTAACCGATGAACAGGTGGCGATGCCATGGAAGGGTTCCACTTTACGCAGCAATGCCAACGCTTGTGAAATTAATTTCTTTTCCAGTTTAAGGGATTATGCGGACCTAATTATGCGGGTTCATTCGTTTCAAGCAGATGGGTCTTTAGCCCAACATATTGAACGTGAATAAACAGAGCTATTCTTGGTGCATGCAGTTCCATCGTTCGTTGGAAATATCTTTCAAAGCCACCAGCATTATTCTGAAACAGACAAATTACAGACAATTAGGTCGAGTTTGGGCGCCGTGTTCTTGACACGGGTTTCTTGTTCTCGCGCTCGAACGGCGAGAACACGACTCAAGAACACTGTTCTCGGAACAGGATCACACACCACCTCCTCGTTAGGGTTTTACAGGAACACACGGAAAAACTCGTGAGGTTTTGATTTTTGAACAGCTGCAAAAAATAAAGAAATGGTTTACAAAGTTGGAGACAATAGGAAGTTTTGCAAAATTAACATTAATTATTTTTCACAACACAGAAGTGAATGTTCCTGTTTAAATAGAAAAGAATTCAGCCCAGTTGTCCAAGCATTAACTCTCGAATAGTTTACTACGAAATGGACGCCGCCATGTTGCTTGTCACCACTAACAAGTACAGCTATGACCAATTGTATGTTCCCGGCGTTCAAATCAAGCCGTTCGTGAACACACGACAACAAGCCGCCCAAACTTGGCCTTACAGAAAACACAGCCCCACTGCAGATTGCAGAATTATGTTAAGCTCAGAAAAGTATTATTTATTATACATGTATAATATAAGTACGTTACTAGCCAAGCTCAGGCATGATGTCTATTGTTTACGAGTGGTTCACTGCCGACTTCAACTTAGCACGTAAACCTACGATAGAGTAGGCTATTTCCTGTTGAGGAGTTCTTTTAAGTTGAAATCAGCCACTGCTGTACAGATAGGTTTACAGTGTTCGGAAAAGGGTCGCTGTCAAATCTGTTCCAAGTCCCCAAAGCAAACTAAGTTGTGCACAGTAGGCCAAAGGGAAGCTATTTACTAAGGCTCTGTTGACTGCAGATTCATGAAGAGTTCAGAAAATAAAGCACTGTCTGTAGGCATGTAACCTACCCTGTACTTGAACATAATAGGGTACACCAGATCATTTTGAAGCTACCTTCAGTGTATATAGCAGACTCGGAAAGTCGACTAGACAACAGCTTTGGTAAGGACACACAGAAAGGAATTCTAGACTGGCCAATCAGTACTCACTTAGGTCAGCAAGGATGATGGCTTTACTGAAGCCCTGCGGCTGTTGCATGTCTTGTTGCAGAGTCGGGATACAGCCATGCTGGGCCATGAGCCAGAAGACCGTCCCAGCTATTTCAGTAAGGTGAAAAAACGCACTCTCTCGGGGCACCTCCTCGGTGGCATTTATCCCGCTGGAGGTGGGACTGCCGGCTACAAATACAGAAGTGATAACGAGGATCACCGACATGACGACGGTGAAAAAGCTGGATGCCATTATCCACCTGTTGATCAGGACAGAAAAAAAGAGTTGTCCTCATGCCATTTCATGCATGGTACATAGGCTTTTATAAGAAAGAATCCAGGGTAGGTATCATGTTGAGATTAAGGTTTTAGAATGTTACCGTGTAGGTCTAATAGAATTTTTGAAGGTTTCCGGGCAAACGTTCAAAGGGAAAGTGTACAATGTCACTGCAACTTACTACAGCCCAAGACTTAACGTAGCCCGGACCTAAACATAGACCCGACCCAAGAACTTCTAAAGGCATAAGTCAGAGTAAAAAACTCGCTCTCAAAAAGAGTGAGTTCCTTATAAAACCATTCCAAAGGAGCAAAAGGCACTCTAAAAGAGTAAAAGCCTCTCTACAAAAGAGTGAAGACTTCTCCAAAAGAGTGCAATTTCTACTCTGTCAGAGTAATATGAAGGACAACTAAACAAAACGTGTTGTCCGCAAAATATAAGCCCACTTTGAAGTGATTTTGTTCCTTTGGGGTCGTTTTTTCACTCTTTTCGAGTGGATTGATGAGAGGCTCACTTTTTTGGAGAGTGGGTTTTTCACTCATTTGCTATTATATTAATGCAGAACTGACATTGCTTTCGGCTATGTACTACCCAACACCGTGCATAAGGGACCGCTTACCAGAAACTCTTAGGAGTAGCTAGCCAGAAAAAGGGACAGATGACCAGACCGTAGGCCAGCGGCCAGTAGCACAGCGTGCCCTCCAGCGCAGCCCCACCAATCGTAAGAGTCATTTCCGAGAAACCCATCAGCACAACAATGGCGTTGCTGAAGCAGACGGCAGCAACTAGTATGTTGATGAGACTTCTAAAAAAGATGTCATATTGGCAGAGTACGCTTTTAATCGGCCTATATTCAGTACAATTAGTAGAAAAATCAGAGTCCAATATTCTGATCAAGCATGCAAATGAGATTGCAATAACCTAGCTTTTGTTTATATTTGTTTCTCAGTTTGTTAATATACTTTCAATCAAGGGTGGATCCAGAACCAAGTTTTTTGGGGCGGGCAGGCAACTTTTTATGTAACGTTTTATGGCTTGCCTTAGGCTGAGGCTATTGTGCACGATTTGGAAGGAAAGGATTGGAAATAGACCACGTGGTAAACAGTAGTCACTTGACGAAAAAATAATTTGACCAATATTTAATTAGTCACAAAGTTGGAACATTAGCCATTACGCTGGTCTTTACATTAGTATTGCAACACTAGTAATTAGTCTGCGCCACCTATAATTACTCCACTATACATTCTCAATAATTTAGTTTCATTATTTGCCAATAATTCCCAACTCCATCAGTGAATAATTACACGTGATTAATATCTGCATAGTCAGCATATACTGGCCAACAAAGGGGTTGTAATTGTAATGAAACACTGCATAAGTTGTCACAAATACGTCAACGTGTTCCAATTTCACAAGTTCTAAGTTTTGAGAAAAGTCCATAATTATACACTCTATATAAAATGGTGGTACATGTATATACATTCGTTGAAGCGTCCAATTTTCGTCCAAATACATATAATGAATGTTTACGACTGCAACAATGTAGTCGAGAGTACGACCGGCAAATTCGGGGCAGACCACCCGGCGTAGGCCAACTGGCTTCTGCAAAAACAGCGGGGTC